AAATTGTGCTCTTGCTAGCTTTTTAAACATAACACTGATGTAATGGAGAGAAGGAAAGCCTAGCAGGAGGGGATCATGACAAAGTTGTTTATAATTACACTGATCTAATGAAGGGAAGCACAGCCTTACAAGACGGTTTAAAATTACGCTGGTCTAATGAAGGGAAGGAAGTCATGGGAAAGACTTATCAAGACAATGGGCCTTAAAATTACACTTGTCTAATGAAAGGAAGCAGAACCTTCCAAGATGAGATGGTTGCAGATGGTTTAAAATTACTCTGGTCTAATGAAGAGAAGGATGGCATGGGAAAGACTTATCATAGCAAAGGGGTTAAAAAATTCCTCCGTTTTACCCCCAAAATCGGACGAGGTCCATAGTAATCTTGGCTTTCAATATTAATGTTTTATCTGAGGATTCTCTGTGTGATGGTTTGAATGCAGGGAAAAAACTGAAAGAAAACTAAAGAGTGATGGGAATACAGAACTTGAAATGGGACAATTGGGGATCAAAAGGTACTATTTCCTTCCTTAGATAGAGGGTCCCCCACACTTCCAAGGTCCATGCAATGAAGTCATAAGTTTTTTCTCTCTCCCTGTGCCTCCACCTCCTTTTCACTGATGCCTTCATTTAGTTACGCATCTTCTCTACACCTCTTCCCCACCCTCACTTTGTTTGAAATGTTTCTCCTAATATTTCTTTAATATCACCATAGTCAAATGTATAATTTTTACTCCAAAACTTGTCAAACCCATCACCACCATACTTCCAAATGTGAGCATCTATGCCATCCAGTTCAAGCATCATTGGACTCTTTGAGTCTTCATTGGGGATGCAACCCCATGTCAGCTCCACCTCCAAGAGGAGTAGAAGTATCCTTAGACACTTCCCCTCAAGCACAGGAGCCTTCCCGTGTTGTCCTGGAGCCAAGGTGTTTCTGCCCTGTTTGAGAGACACTCTGCTTGTGTGAATCACCCCACATGACTGCCATTTCAACACACTTGCTTGTTTGGGCTTTCCAGCTCAAACATGAGACGTAAGGAAATGTCACAGGAGACAGGTTCTGGGGTTGTAATCAAGCATGAGTCATTAAGCATCAATTGCAGTTGCTCAGAACATGTCATTCAGATAATAAACACCAAATCTGACAAATGGTTGGAAAGTGTTTTCCAATTATATATTGAACCAAACAAACAAAGCATATATTTTCCCCAGCTCTGTGTTTACACTCTTTTGGAAAGCAACGTTTTATAGAACACATACGAGTTGCAGTTTTGTGAACTTTGCTTTGAACAGAAAACAATTTATTGTACTATGGTGATTTTATGTATACACACAGACACATAACCATATGTGTGTGTGTGTATGTATGTGTGTATATATACACAAACACATAGGCCTTAATCCTATTGGTTATCTAAAGTAGACTCATTTAACCTATTGTTGAATGATAAAAAAAAAAAACCTAAATAGAGCCGAGCCTTGGATAGTACTTGGACAGGAGGCCACCAATGAATACCAGGTGCTATATGCTATATTCCAGAGGAAGGAACTGGCAAAACCACCTCTGAATATTCTTTCCCAAAGAAAATCCTATGAAATTGATGATGTCCCCATTAATCAACAGGTGATCTCAAGCTGTGAACACACCAGCTTTCCATGAAGCAGAGTCATGAAGCAGGCTCGATAAGGACTTCCAGAGTCACTTCAGAGGTGGCACAGAGTCCTCACTGCCCATCTGCACCAAATGTCCGTACTGTGACTAAGGACACCCACAACACCCCCACCTACTAGTCTTGGGACACACTGGCAAACATCAGCAAGTGTGCTGCTTGCCAAGGCAACTGGAAGGGGGAAGTGTCCCCTTCTCCTTCCCCCTGTATCTCCTTAGCAAAGTTGTAGTTTAACTGAGAGTTTATCATCGCTGGGGATAGCCACAGCTCAAGGGAAGGATACTGCCACCTCACATCCCCAGGCCATCTGAGGCCAGAGAACATGGGAAACCTGTAAAGACAACTGCAGCCGGTTCCAATTAGGAACAAGACTATCTGTCTTGACAGGTCCTAACTCAGGGGACAACCCAATCTTAGCTTAAGCCACATGTAGTGTTTAGCGAGGCTGAACCTAGGTCACACCAACATAAACGGTCAGCGTAGATGTGTCCCATGTAGTACTGCCTACTTCCTGTGTTCCATTTACACATAGAAACTGAACAAAAAGCAACATTCACAAGATTGGTATTGGTATGGTAATAGCTTTATTAGGCATCTGAAATATCGTTAAACAAGCAGGCATTGAGTCTTCCTGAAGGCATCAGCGACAGCTAGTGTATCACTTGCTAAGAGAAACAGGGAAGCCTCCAAACCATCCTGTCTAGATGCTGTAGTCATAGGATTTGCCTTCTAAAGTGCATTCTAAAGTGAAATCTAATACCAGTACACCTCTAGCTTTGTAGACTCGAATTTATCAAAACTTGAACATTTCCTCATCTAACGTTGAAATAAAAAAAATTGCAGTGAATAACATAATTTTCCCCCCAAAAGAGACCAATCAATTCTGCACATGTTTTATTGCAAATAGCATTCTAATAGATATGGCTGATTACACAGTAAGGAGCATAATTTATATATCACCACCAGTGGGGGCTTTTGTCATAGGCATAACTGAAGAATTTGACACCTTTACAAGAGAACAATATATGTCAACTGAAATATATGCCAATTAGGGCTCAGTAAGACACTTAGATGAATGATGCTTGCACATGCTGTATTTACAAATAATATGTGGTTTATAGCCACTTGCATTTCCAAACAACATGTCTTTTTATGTTGCTATATTTTTTTAAAAAATGAAAGCATTTTGAAAGGTAACAAAAATATCTCCATTAGCACTGAAAGCCCTAAAAATGGACAGTAATTTGGTTCATTTTACTTTACATTTGATGTGATGGCTTTGCAAAGTGTTATTTGTTTAAAAACTCCTCGACAAAGTAATTGCTGCTCTACTTCATTATTAAAAGAGGATGTGTGGTAACCCGTATTTAACAACAAATGCATTGATGTTGAGAGCAATAGCACCACAAGGACTTCGAATGTGAAGTGGGGAGAGGTTGTTTGCTAGGACGGACCTAAGAGGGGAGGGCAGGAAAGAACATGACTTTTTCCACCACACTCTGCTTCTAAGACCTATGGGCCAAACCTATTTGCAACATCATAGAGGGTGGGAGGGTTCTATCAGGTCCACATGTCTCCACAACAATCTCTTGTGCTCTGGTGGTAGGTTGAGACGGATCCATTATTGAACTCAATGAGCATAAAAGTGGCCAAGATCCTGTGTAATGCCAAGATCCTGTGTAATGCAGAATATTGACAGACAGCAAAAGAGATTGAAAGCTAACCATTAAACATGTGTAAATAAACACAGAGAACTGACACACTTGTGGATTTCGAAGAGGCACAAATAGAGGGTGAAAGGGAGAGCATTTCCAAGAAGAAGGCATGTCAAGCAAACTCTTGTCAGGACCATCTTCCATCTCATAGAATCACAGAGTTGGAAGAGACCTTGTGGGCCATCCAATCCAACCTCCTGCCAAGAAGCAGGAAAATTGCATTCAAAGCACCACTGACAGATGTCCATCCAGCCTCTGCTTAAAAGTCTCCAAAGAAGGAGCCTCCACCGCACTCCGGGGTAGAGAGTTCAATTGCTGAACAGCTCTCACAGTCAGGAAGTTCTTCCTAATGTTGAGGTGGAATCTCCTTTCCTGTAGTTTGAAGCCATTGTTCTGTGTCGTAGACTCCAGGGCAGCAGAAAACAAGCTTGCTCCCTCCTCTCTACGACGTCCCCTCACATATTTTTATACATGGCCATCATGTCTCCTCTCAGGGTTCTCTTCTTCAGGATAAACATCCCCAGCTCTTTAAGCCGCTTCTCATAGGACTTGTTCTCCAGACCATTTATCATTTTAGTCACCCTCCTCTGACACATTACAGCTTGTCAACATCTCCCTATCTATGTCCTCAATGCGAAAGACCATGAGGATCCAGAATAGGTCTCCACAGCATTTACGGGCCCACCTCCAAGACACTTGGAAGGTAACCATATTCAGCCATGAGTGATCGCCTATGATGAAAGTTTTGCCAACTTACTTTCCCCCCAGAGGTGCTATAGCATCTGAACAAAAATAAGGTGCACCCCTGTGGTCTTGGGGTCATAGGAAAGAAATATGCTGCATACAATCCAGTTGCTGTTGCACAGTCACAAAACAGTGTTTTACAAGAAAGGACTGAATGCCTCCTTTCACAATGCCTAAAAAATTATTTCTGCTGTAGTTGTCTCTGGCAACACCAGCCCAAGGTTGTGTCAGTATGGCCAAAATAATGTAGACTCACCGCTCAGCCATAAATGCAAGTTAAGTTGACATGGGATCCCACAGTTTTTGAGGTGAGGACAGCTGGACCAGGCTGGATATGAGCCAATTCATTCTCCACACTTCCATCACATCTTGTCCACATTTCTAACAGATCCATTGCATCATTAACAAGAAGAAGTGGCTTGCTGGTTGCATCACTTCTGGTGATGTCACATCAGGGCATCCAGCCATGTGATCCGAAACACGATACCACCATGTACTTAAGAGGTAACATGAGCAACATACCAGCCATTGCATTTTGTGCACATGGATTTGTGTTGTTCCAATGAATTTGTTACAAACAGGTTTCCATGAGAATGGAATTGATCTTTACTTACTGGTATCCTCCTATATTTTTCCCTTATTGAGCAATGTTGCAAACAGGAAAACATTTCAGTCCTTCGTACTCTATTGCTGCTTCTTTCTTTCTTTTTCTTAACCCTACCTGCCTGCCCACCTCCTTTTCTTTTCTTTTCTTTTCTTTCTTTCTTTCCTCCCTCCCTCCCTCCCTCTGCTCTTTTACAAATTGTTTATTTCTTTACTCCTTAGAAGAATGACCACAAAAAGTAATAACAAATCAGACACTGATCACAGGTGCCAGGAACTGTCTTTTTAATTAAGATCAGGATAAAGATTTGTGTATCTTATACACATCAGCATGGCGTCAATGTTTGCAGAACATCTTCTCTCACAGTGTCACTGCCACAAAAATTGTACCTGAGGAATTAAAAATATCATATATATTAGTCTATATGTAAGTATTAAGATTCTTTTTTGCTGCAATTTATTTTGAAGTGACAATTAATTTGCGTGTTATATATGCCCCAAAAAATACACCTTGTACATTTACTAATTGCCTTACACTAACAGTTACATTTTCTTCCAGACTTGAGCAAAGGAAGTCAGACAGAATCTTGTGACTCCAGACAGCCTATTTCTCCAGTGCCTTAGTATCTTCCTGACCACACTGCTGATACACACTGCTGATAGTCTTTTTGCCCTCCTGCTGCTATTGCCTATGGTGGTACAGTTAGTGAACCAACAGGGTTCTGGCATTTCTTCATATTTCACCTATTTTAACCACTATCTTATTTCTATACTTTCTTGATTAATTGTATTAATTGGCTGCCTCCTACACTATGAAAAAAAAAACATTGAAATGACCCCCCAAAAGAAATCTTTTGGGCTGCCAACTTCCGTAACACTCACTTATTTGTGATGTGCCCTACTGAGCTCAGCAGGACTTACTGATGAGCAGGCATGCCTAGAATTGCACTCAACTGGATCCAGAATTGCAATCAAAGGTTTCATTGCTAAATGTACTTAAGGGGGAACAAACATCATAGAACCTAATGGAGCCACTTCTGAATAGACACCCTTAGGATCACATCATTGAGTCAGAAATTCTAGATATGCTTAGTGAATAAGTCAAGAGTGGGCCAACTTCCATCAGTCCTAGCCAACATTGCCAATAGTGAGGAATTCTGGGAGATGCAGTCTACTGTGTTCTATACAAAGCCTGTTGGGTATAGAGCGTCTTCCAACTTCAAAGATAACATTAGTGATAATATAGAGCAAACCTATCAGTTTCAAATATTGTTAACAATGTAAGCAAAGAATAGGAAAAAACAAGCAAATAGGTATCTCATACTGGTCACAATCCTATATCACTGTAATCTCCTGTGCCCCTAGGATGAGCTCCAGTGGATGCATCCATGGACCATGTCGCCACAACTGGACAGGGTTGGAGGAAGGAACAGCTCCATGCTGCAGTTCTACTGTTAGTAGTATATGTTACCTTACAGGACACCCTCTACCATGCCCCTTCTCAGCCACTCATAGAGTCATAGAATCGTAGAGTTGGAAGAGACCTCTTGAGACATCCAGTCCAACCCCCTGTCTAGAAGCAGGAAAATCACATTCAAAGCATCCCCAACAGATGGCCATCCAGCCTCTGTATAAAAGCCCCAAAGAAGAAGCCTCCACTACACTTTGGGGCAGAGAGTTCCACTGATGAACAGATCTCACAGTCAGAAAGTTCTTTTTCATGTTCAGGTGGAATCTCCTTTCCTGTAGTTTGAAGCCATTGTTCCACATCCTAGTCTCCAGGGCAGCAAAAAACAAGCTAAAACACCAAAAGGCCATTGCAATGCTGTCTCATTGTTTGCTGAGGAAGTTCTCAACAGGAAGAGCATGCAATAGATCTCCCCTTAATTCATCACTACATATGAGACAAAAAAGTCTTGAATATGTTTTAAACATAATAGATGGGTATTCCTTCTTTAAAAAAACAAACCAAAAGCATACATACACAGTCCCATCTTCTCCATCTTGTATTGTAACCTTTGCTGCTCCCAGTCTAGGCAAAGTTGGATTTATTATATTGTTGTTCCAAAGGAACTTAACTTTAGTAACTGTTCCAACATCAAGTTTTGCATCAATTAGTTTGGTATAATTCTCATCAGGTTGGAGCTTCCCCCTTGGGAAGAAAGAATATGATACACATGAGGTGTTGTCTTTTTTTTAAAAAAAAGAAGCTATACATACACTTGTCCATTTTCTCCATCTTCCACCAGAATTTTTTCAGCTCCCATTTTGGGGAAGGTTGGGTTTATGACATTATTGTTCCACAGAAATTTAACTGTAGTTACTGTTCCAACTTTGATTTCTGAATCAATGAAAACGGTATGTGTAGAACCTGGCTGAAGATGGCCCCTTGGGTAAAAATAGAGAAGCAATAGTCATCAGAACTGCATATCCTCCAACGTTTTGCAGAGGAAATTTGGGACATATGCCCCAAAGCAACATCAGAGTGTGGTGAAAAGGATAAGACCAGAATGAAGATACAAGGTAGATTTTAGTAGATTGTGGTTTTGCCGCAATCTACAAAAAAGGGCAAGATTCTCCCCTGCTGAGTTAATTGAGTGCAGGTTCGTTTACACTTTGAATTCAATTTGCAGCAATTGAAGTAAGTTGCAAACTGGAAGAGGAGAGAAACAAGGGCAGAGGTCAGAAGATTAATCGGAATCAGCACACGAGCCACCATTGAATAAAAACTCTCTGAAACAGTGCAGTGGCATTTCAAAAAAGGCGAAGTAAATGGTAGAGGATTCATTAGGAAGATCACATAGGATGCAGTATGATACCGTATACTATTCAACCATTCTTAAAATATGTGAGAGTATTTCTATTCATTCAATATTGAAAAAAAGACTCAGGAAAAGAAAATTAGAGAAGTAGAACTCTCAAGCAGAAATACAGCATATATTTTAACATTTATAATTTTGCAAAGGACACTGAACGTACTGGAAAATTTGGTGTTGCTTTGTATTCCCACCCGTTCCATACAGAGCAATATTTACGTATCCACGGACACTGCTCTTTCCAGACAGCGTGACTGACACTTTATATCTCCATCCTGTACAGCACAAATAGGAAGAGATTGCTTTTAATGAAAAACATATACATGCTTGATCCCTTGAGGCTCCAAAAATGGCATGCATCCAGTATCATTCAACCTTCTCATGTTTGATATTAAGAAAAGATGTCTTATAATCTTATTGAATATAACATTATTTACATTGGCAATAGAAAAACCCTACATTAATATCAATTTTAAGGGTTTTGTTCTTGGATAATAAGGTCCAGAATCCCAGTCTCCCAAAATCATCCACACTGCACGAATCCTACACTACATCTGTTCAAAATTAATTAATTAATTAATTAATTAATTAATTAATTACAGCTTTTCTATTCCACCCTTCTCACCCCTTAGGGGACTCAGGGTACACATATATGGCAAACATTCAATGCCAATTTTGATATACAACATATACAGACATAGACAGAGGCTGTTTAACTTTTTCTGGCTACCAGGGGAGCTGTCGCTTTCATCGTCCATCTGCGACACTGATGAAGTACTTCTGCATTCCCCGCATGCTTTTTGCTGGAGTGCTTGCTGGAGTCTTTTTTATGGCCTCATAAATTAGTTAATTTAGCCTCCCCACACTTTAAGGTGGTACCTAATTTTCCTACTTGACATATGCAACTGTCTTTCAGGTTGCAAAGGTCGAAAACAGGCCACACAATTAGTTGGAAACCCACTCCAACCCGGGCTGGCTTAGAATTCATGACTTTTTGATCAGAGTGATCTTAATGCAGCTGACACTCAGCCAGCTGCGCCACAATCCCGGATCACTATTAATAAGCCCTTATTAATAGTGCCATCCTATATATGTTTTCACAAAAATACATTAAATTGCATTCAGTGATGCATAGAATCATAGAATCAAAGAGTTGGAAGAGACCTCATGGGCCATCCAGTCCAACCCCCTGCCAAGAAGCAGGAATATTGCATTTAAATCACCCCTGACAGATGGCCATCCAGCCTCTGTTTAAAAGCTTCCAAGTAAGGAGCCTCCACCACACTCCGGGGCAGAGAGTTCCACTGCTGAACGGCTCTCACAGTCAGGAAGTTCTTCCTCATGTTCAGATGGAATCTCCTTTCTTGTAGTTTGAAGCCATTGTTCTGCGCCCTAGTCTCCAGGGAAACACAAAACAAGCTTGCTCCCTCCTCCCTGTGGCTTCCTCTCACATATTTATACTTCCAACCAACTGAGTGGAAGATTACAGCCCATTTTTAGTGGTTACATGGAGTGACTGAGGTCTGGGCTGAATGTTTTCCATCGAGTCTGGATGGTTGAATTAATTCCAATTAATGCCTTGAGGCAGCATAATAAAATAGCCAGCATCTTATATTAATAGATTATCCTATCATGATTCAATCATACCTAATAATTCATTAATCTCATCACAGTTGCATCGTAGATATATAAATTCTAATTTTTCAGCAAATGGCATTTCAGTAAACACAATATATTCTCCCTGGTTGGTTATATTAGCAATAATATTTTAGAATGCCTTTCTTTTATATGGATAAAAGGTAATAATGTTACCTTACGGAAAACTAGTTCCGTAATTTCATCACTAATATTTATCTTAAGCAACACATTTCATAGAGGCAGGTTAAATGCAAGACGTTACTACAGAAGTTCAAACATACTTACGGGCAAAAATCTTTGCATCCCCAGTATTCAAATAAAGCTTTGTAAATCCAGAAGTGGAGCTGATTTGGTCTTTATATTGGTCAGCATAGTGACCCATTTTAGGGCATCCACGTGCAGGACACGGGAAGCAGCTCTGATAAAAACAAACAGAAAAAAAGCTCTTCTGGTTATTACAGAAATATCTATCACACTTACGACCTCATGACACAAAAGTGAAATTAGCAACATGTGCCAGTTCGCCTTCTCCTTTACAATGAAGCCTGCTGGCTCCCACCCCACAATATGCTGCAACTTCTGGAAGGCTCCACCATAAAGGAGAATGCGATTCGGTGCATGCCACTATGGTGGCAACACAGGAGGCTTCCCATGTTGCCTTGAATCAACCGAGGAAAGCCAGGCAGTAGACTCTTCTCTCTGTAGGAAGGTAATGTGGGTGAGTTGGATGATGCGGGGCATGGGGTGACGGGCTCCTCATGTCCCTGGATGGGCACTGCCAGAATTGTCACAATCCATGGCGATTCCGGCGGCATGTGTAAAGAGGTCCTTATTGCAGTACGAAAAAGCTAGAGCACATAATGACATGAAATAGCTCCTCTTTTTCCTTGCCCTAACCTAGACCTTTGTTCAGGACCAATCTGGATCACATGTTCAAAACCACATGTCAACACACTTTGAAAATGACCATCAGTTGAGATTCCCTCCCCTTTGAAGACCATAGAGTTAACAACAAGTTAAAGTAAAGGTTTCCACTTGACATTAAGTCTAATTGGGTCAGACTCTGGGGGGTGGTGCTCATCTCCATTTCTAAGCAGAAGAGCCAGCATTGTCCATAGACACCTTCTAGGTCATGTGGCCAGCATGACTGCATGGAGAGCCGTTACCTTCCTACCAGAGCGGTATCTATTGATCTACTCACAATTGCATGTTTTCGAACTGCTAGGTTGGCAGAAGCTGCGGCTAACAGCAGGAGCTCATCCCGGTCTCTGGATTCGAACCACAAACCTTTTGGTCAGCAAGTTCAGCTGCCCAGCAGTTTAACCCGCTGGACCACCAGGGGTTCTCTCCAACAATTGCTACGACAGTGAAAATACACCATCCTTATAGAGCCTTTTCTGTCTAAACCAGGATCATATAAAATGCTCCTCACTTTCATGGAGTGATTTTATATCCCTTGGATTCAATGTAAGTTCATCTAATAATCTATACAATATGAATATTTTTGCATGTTCAAACAGTGACCCAGAGCTATGAAAAGTGACATTTTTGGAATGGAATTTTCTTACTCCCTCAACAGATTTTGGAAAATAATTTTCCCAATTACTTCAGAAGACATTACGGAGTTTATCTCATGAAGTAGGGGAATCACAATTACAGCAGGACAACAGCATCTTTGGCCAGGACTTATCACACAATGTTTTTGCTCCCTTGCTAGGAAGAGCTTGAAAAGCGTTTCATTTACAAATACAAATAATTTATTAATGGCCTCTTCTTGTAAAAGAAACACCTTCCAATAGTCTCCCACTAGGAGGACGACAGAAAACAAAGAACCCATGCCATAAATTATGCTGCTATCCTGCTGTAATTGTGATTTGTCCATCTGTGTGATGAGCTTATAGGGTGATTCTGGAAGATTACATTCAACTATTTGTTTATTAAGAAGGAATCATATGAGAATTTATTTCCAGCACAAACAAATAACGTACTGTTTCAAATAGGTTGTATGCAGCACAGGGGTAACCTAAGAACCCATCTGGATAGAGAATGCTGTCTGAATAGTACTTGTAACCCCTCAGATGGTTGCAGGCCACAAAGTCACGGGTTCCTATGGAGAAAAAAATAGCTGTTCTATAAATTCAAATTGTTTGCGATTCCATTAAAAAATCTCTTCTGCAAAGCAAGGGCACACATTTATGCTTACTCTTTGTTTCTGAATTAATCACATACATAAGAACATGAGAACATGCCCTATATGGACTATTAGCATTGGACCTTTGGGCTTAATATTGTTGGCTCTTATACAGTACTTCTTCAGAGTTTCAGCCAATTGTCTTTCTCATCTTAAAATATCCCAGAATGCCTCCTAGAAAGCCAGGGAAGCCCACAAACATGATGCCTGGGGGCAAAATAAATGTGTGTGAGAGAGAACTGGTGCACAAGGTCTCTAGAATGGCTAATGTGTGTCCTAGACTTCCAGAGCTGTTCACTCCTGGTTTACAAAATGCTATATGAACCACATTAGATGTTGTGTTTATGGTTGAAATACTCCACACAATTATTTTTGGCTGTTTCTAAGATTAAGCACATATCAGCACTTGAAGAGAGAGAATGGAAGTAAGTTCAAGCAGTCTCCAAGTTACGAACAAGATGGGTTCTGTAGGTTTGTTCTTAAGTTGAATATGTAACCTTAAGAAATGGGGCTCCACGACATGTGAGTGTGGAGAAGAACAAACCATAGACCACCTACTGCAATGCAACCTGAGCCCTGGCACATGCACATGGAGGACCTTCTTATACCAACACCAGAGGTACTTCAAGTGGCCAGCTATTGGTCAAAGGACATTTAATAGAATGCCAAGTTTGCAAACTTTGTGTTTTTTTAATGCAATACAACTGTTTGGTTCACTCCTGACATGATAAATAAATATGTATGTGAGAACAGGGATATTTCTTAAGTGTAACCCCAGTCATATCTGTATCTGTATTTGTATCTGTATCAACAGCAATATCAATCTCTATCTCTATCTCTATCTCTATTTAAGCTTTGGATCACATATGGAAGATTAGCACCTCTGTGGCATTTGCTTTTCTCTCTGTGCAAGGATTGATGAGAAAGCTTCTGTGGAAACACCCTTTCCCCCCATTATAACTCTTTCAGGAGTGAATTTCTCTTCCTAGAGGTAGATTTCTCTCACTTCCTATTGTCTCACCCCCATTCTTAACTATGAGTCATTTGTAAGTTGGATGTTTATAAGTTAAGGCCTGCCTGTACTGTTCTTTTCAGGATAACTTCTCCAAATAAAGAGGTTTTGTAGTGACTGGCCCGAATCACGTTCAGCTTTGGTACAACTCTGTGTACTTATCAATACTTTTCATTCTTAGCAGAAATCTTTGTGATACATACCTTCCCAGATCCCATCAAGGTCCACTATTTGTGACAGTGCATTCTTCTTGCATCCTGGCATATGTTCTCCTCCATTTGGATAAAAATCAAGGTGTCCCACAGCTGCTCTCATTCCAAAGCCTGGAATATTTGTACCAAATAAGCATGAATTGAATTTGAAAGATCTCATGTTTATTATTCCATGTTATGTACTATAGTCAACTTACCCAAATATGGGATGGTAGGAGCAGAATCTGTATGAATAACATCAACAAATTCAGCATCGCTTTTATCCAATCTGATCTCAACTGGTGTGCCTTCGAAATAAGGTTGAGCCGGGTCTATTCCTGTAAAGGCACACTTTTTTAAAATGTGAAAGGAGAAGCTGATGGAAAAATACAGACTAACAATATTGAACCACAGGTAATGGAAATACTAATATAGTCTTGACAAAACATGCAATTTCTAGTCAAGCTATTACTGATGTGCTGACGGAGTGTATTGGACTCACACAGAAGTGCAAATTTTATGCCAGTATTTCTATTTATACTGGCATAAATTTTGGACAGTGGGTACCTCCTTGAACAATGCTCTTTTACTGGTTGAACAATGCAATGGTCCGGCACTACAACCAATCTGGAATGAAGGCCATAGCCCAGGTACCATATCTGTGCAGACAGTAAGAAAGGATCACCTTATGTTGCACAGCTGAGGCAAAGAGCAGCTTTCGGCCTTCTGGGCACTCAACATACCATATATACTTGAGTATAAACCAATCTGAATAAAGGCTTATACTAAAAAAAAAAAAAAACCTTGGAAAATGTGTTGACTCAAGTAGAAGCCTAGGGTGGGAAATGCAGCATCTACTGGTAAATTTCAAAATAAAAATGGATACCAATAAAATTACATTAATTGAGGCATCAGTAGGTTAAACGTTTTTGAATATTTACCGTATTTCAAAGAAAAACAGTAAACTAGCTCTGTAAGTGGAAAAGTAGGGTCAACAAAAACAATATGGTATCAACAATAACTTAATAATAATAATAATAATAATAATAATAATAATAATAATAATAATAAAACTTCATTTGTATTTCACCCTATCTCTCCATGGGGACTCGGGCCAGCTTCCAACATAGTAACAGCTAAACATTCAATGCCTATATAAACAATGCAGAGCTAGATCTATAATTATATATACTAATTTCAAACATGCATTTCCTCTGAAATGTTTGTAAATCCTCTCTATATATGTGCATTTCCCTCCTTATATATCTTTGCAAGCCTTATATATCTATGCTTATATCTATCTAGACATGTGTGTGTACATTTCCCCTGCAATATTTGCAGGCCCTACATATCTATATTAATATCTATCTAGACATGTCTATATACAGAGTAGAGTCTCACTTATCCAACATTCACTCATCCAACATTCTGTATTATCCAACGCAGTCTACCTCCCACCTAATCCACAGCTGTTTCAATACATTGTGATGTTTTGATGCTAAATTAAGTACAGTAATAACTACATAATGTTACCATGTACTGAACTGCTTTTTCTGTCCATTTGTTGTAAAACATGATGTTTTGGTGCTTAATTTGTAAATCATAACGTGATTTGACGTTCAATAGGCTTTTCCTTAATCACCCTTTATTATAAAACATTTTTGCTTATCCAACGTTCTGCTAGCCCATTTATGTTGGATAAGCGAGACTGTACTGTATATTTGTGTGTGCATTTCCCCCCTGTAATATTTACAGGCCTTATATAACCTTTCCCTTTTCAAAACATTCCCTCTCCCTGTCTTTCTGTCACTCTTTAAAAATAAGAATTTCCAAAATGGGCAACTCCAGTCTGGGAGGAGAAGCGGAGTTAGGGAGGTTTGGAAAAGAAAACACACTGCTAAGGGAGGGGAAGAGGAGAAAGAAATATATCATATATTGTAAGCAACAGCTAGAAACAGCTTTCGGAGCCTTAACCCCATTATAAGCTGAAAGAGGCTTTTTCAGCCCCCAAATGGCTGAAAATCCTGGGTTATATTTGAGTATATAGGGTACTTGTTGGAGGTCTGAGCATATGAAAGCTGAGCCTTGCCCACTGACTGCACAGCAATTGTCAGAGGGTACACAGCCTCCACCTCCCCAACCCACTCCAAATTGCTCACTATAGATTCAACCCACTCCAAATTGCACTGTATGGCCATAGCAAAAGGATTTTGCACAGTAAAGTATTAAATGCCTCCTTGTACACTCCCTCCCCCTGGCACAATAACTTGGTACTACGCCAGAGTGACTACCCAAGAACATTTTTTATCAAGGTACATGGGAAGTAATCTTATGAGAAATATTGAGACCACCAGTGCAGGATTACATGATCATCTGTAACTCAAGTTATTCCGAGAGACCTGTTGTCTGCTACTTATGCAAGTCTTTTCCTTCTCTCAAACATCTGTCTATATTATTTGCTGAACTTTGTTACGTCCTTCAATCTTTCCCTGGCTCCATGAGTAAAAGCTGAAAATTAAGGAACATTTTTCAAGCAGACTAGTATTTATTGCTATGCTATTTATTTCTGTCTCACTAAATCTCCTTCCATACAGTTGTATAAAATCCACAATGAACTGGATTATATGGCAGTGTGGACTCGGATAATTCAGTTCAACCAGATATTGTGGATTATTTGCCTTAATATTCTGGATTATATGACTGTGTGGAAGGGCCCTGGGAAGCAATTCCAGGATGAAATGCCTGTAACCTCTGGTACTGCAACCACACTTCTACCCTCACTCATTTATTTTTGTTTTTAAGGCCAGGACAGATCAGGTCTTGCGGGAAAATATCAAGAAAAACATGGAATGTATTGATTTTTCAGTGACCTTTGGTTTTTCTGTCAATAACAAATAAAAGATAGCAAATCCAGAGGAAAAAAGAAGCCATCAAGATATCTTGTTCTCAGCCTCTAGCAGATAGTGTTTGAAATCCCATATTGGGCCATCCATATGAGAGTTTCCAGTACAAGGACATTAAAAGAGTACACAGAGATAAGCAATTTTCCACCACTCCAATGGCATGTTTTCCTTTATGTGAACCATGCCATCTGTGCAAGGGGAAAGATTTGCTTTTAATGTCATGTGGAGAAGAAAAAATATGGAGGAGGATACACATGGGTGCAAGGCAGCTAATGGAAATCAGATACATGGGTGCCAATGAAATGCTGTTAATAGAGCTACGGCCTAAAATCACAAAAAACAAAAACAAAACCCAATTCAAACATTCTTTATCACATGAAAGTAAATCCCATAACCAAACATCAAGCTTATAAAAATGTGTAGACTTGACTCATTATTCCCAGCTAGAATAAACCCATTGAATCAACAAGACTTACCTGAGTGTTGACTCACTATAGATTCAATTGATCTACTGCAATCAAGACTAAGTAGTAGGTTTCATGCTATAGTAGTGTTTCTATTTGGACTTTTCAAGCCATTTGGCTTGCCTAAGGAATTCCTTTTCCTTTTTGATGATTATGTGTTAAATAAATAATTCCTTCTATTCGACAGGACCATAAACTACCATTATCACTGATGGTGCCAGAGTATAAGGTGGTTCATAATCGATATGTTTATCCCTGGCAAAAATTGCCAAATCTGCCTCATTCTTAAAAATACAAGAATAAGGTGAATCTCTATCAATTAATGTGGTTTCAAGCCACTTTAAGTGCCATGGCGCAATGATATGGGACCCCAGAGTTAGTAGCTTGGTTATCTTTTGCAGATAAGGCTATAGACCTTGTAAAACTACACCTCCCATGATTCCATAGAATTGAACCATGGTCATTACACTGGTCTCAAACTGCATTAATTCTACAGTGTAGCTGCACTCTGAGTTACATTGCTGGGTTCTCAGAGGCCATACTGCAAATGACTAGGGGTGTATATCCACTGTAGACGTAATGTAGTTTGATGCCACTTCAACTGCTTTGGATCAATGCTATGAAATCCTTGTAATTGAAAGTTTACAAAGTCTTCTCTGCCAAAAAGGTGCTGGTGCCTCACCAAACTACATTATTCTGCAGTATGGAGCCACTGCCATTAAAAATGGTGTCAAACTGCATTAATTCTACAGTGTAGAGCCTAGAATATACAGAGTGCCTTACATCTAACTATTAGCCCCAGTTGTAGCAGATCCATTGAATTAAATGGAAAATTGGCAAGTAAACATTTATGATTCATTGATTTAGTGGGCTTATTCTATTTGATATTTAAAAATGGATTTCAATGTATTGTCAAAGGCTTTCACAGGTAGAATCACTGGAATGTTGTGTGGTGTCTGGGCTGTAAGGCAGTATTCAAGCAGCATTTTCTCCTGACATTTTGCCTGCATCTGTGACTGGCATCTTCAGAAACATCAGGAGAAAAGGCTGCTAGAACACAGCCATACACCCTGGAAAATGCACAATATCCCACACCAAAATGTAGTCACAATTTTTCTCCTCATTCCACTCTTATTTCAATCAAAGCAAACATTGATCAATAGAGCATACTAGATAACATTCAATTGCAGCAGTCCTTGATCTAATATCAAGTTTGTGTTCCATTATATTCACCTACCAGTTATTCTTTTAATTCCTGGTATTCTTTGTGCCATTTCGGCCGCTGCATGTGCCCCAAGGCTGTGACCAATGAAATGAACCTTGGATGGAGTGTATCCATAATCTGCCTGATAGTAAGAAAAATGGTAAAGAAAGCAACATATACATTTGCAGCTACGTGTCTAATTTACTGTTTATTTAGCTTACAACTCATTCCATCATGGCCAAATTGTATATGACAGGGCACGGGTGGAATGTTTTTATTGTTTCATAACACCAGCAGAATGATTACTTGTGTCCAGATTAATTCCTTTGGACAGTTTTCTTTTCCTTCAATACTATTTGTAAACCCCCTTTCGATGTTAACTATATTATGTTGTGTTCTGGAAGAGTACACACCCGGAACTTACACATCCTGCACCCTACACATCCTGCACCCTACAAGTGATTGTGAATCTAAACTTTTAAAAAGATCACAAGCCTAGACAAGCACTAACAGTCTATCCAGTTTTTTGTTGTTTTTTTTTGGGGGGGGGGTTGTTTGTTTTTGTTTTTTGGTGTCAGGAGCAACTTGAGAAACTGCAAGTCGCTTCTGGTGTGAAAGAATTGGCCATCTGCAAGGACATTGCCCGGGGACGCCTGGATGTTTTACTACCCTTTTGGGAGGCTTGTCTCATGGGGAGTTGGAGCTGACAGAGGGAGCTCATCTGCGCTCTCCCTGGATTCGAACCTCTGACCTGTCTGTCTTCAGTCCTGCTGGCACAGGGGCTTAATCCATTGCACCACCAGGGGGCTTCACTATCCAGTATAACCCCTTATTCAATATTCATGGTTTCACTTATCCATGCTCCAAAGGAAACCACTCCCTGGAAGTACTTTTGGACCTCTCCAAGTCCTTCATTATGGTTCTATGATACGTTTCTGGACCGAGTATATTAAAAATTAGGGCTCTGTATTATCTCTGGTTTCAGGTATCCACTGGGATTCTTGGAACATATCCACATGAAATAGAGGTTCTACTGTATGAAATTTTCATCTGGTTACTTCTCAAATTATTAACTGGCACTAAACTATGATCGTGATTTAAGTTGCAGCTGGCTTTCTGTATCAACTGATTATACACCCATAAATTAAACCATACCCAACTTGAAAACATTTGTTTTAAAAAAGCAAATCTTGATTTTGCCATTTTATATCATGGAACGAACATTCATAAATTTTGGTATCCACAGGTGGTTATGGAATCAAACCCCAGCAGACACCAAGGTCCTAATTTACATTGTCAGTCAAAAAAGTGTTATTTTTCTTTTCCCCGATCACAACGTGGTATAAAATTAAGTATGTAAAGTAATATTATTTTGAAATGATATTTCTATGAAGAATTTTTTTCTAATTTACTCCAACACCAAAGCAATCTTGTCTTTTCTAAACAACGTTAAAGATCTGTACATCTATATAACTTCCTTAACCCTCAGCTTATTTGCCTTATTCTTTCTGTATTGCAAATTTATATTTGAAATCTAGAATCTAAAATATAGATTTCAATACTGTATTTGTTAAAGCTGAACACTAACTTTTGGCTAAACTTAATGTTCAGGAATGATTTTGCTACAGATATATGGCTTTCCTTTTGCTCCTACAAATGTCATCCCTACTAACTTTCTGACACCAAAGTTGCTCTATCAGCATTTCCCATATCAAATGGTAGTTAGGTTAATATTTTTAGGGGTTTTTTCCACATACATTATCAGATTAGTAACCTTTTATTATCCTGGAAGCTTTCCTGTAACTGACAGACTTACAGTAACTGTGAAGTAATGACTGGAAACTCCTTACCACAAGGACGTTTATAAAATAAGCCACTTCAGCTCCGACCACACGGATATTGTTTGAAGCTTGGGTGTAGGCACACCGGGAACCTTTGCTCCAGTCAATGCAGATGCAGTTCACATCTTCCACCTGAAACATTCTCTGATGCAAACAGAATGAAAACAGATGTGAGTTAAAAGTTCCTGTCACCACAATTCCTGGTTTCTCTATTCTCTCTTTGAGGATGGATCATAAAATCATAGCATCATGGAGTTGGAAGAGGCCCCATGGGCCATCCAGTCTGACGCCTGCCAAGAAGCAGGAAAATCTCATTCAAAGCACCACAGCTTTTGTTTAAAAGCCTCCAAAGAAGGAGCCTCTACCACACTCTGGGGCAGAGAGTTCCACTGCTGAACAGCTCTCACAGTGGTCAGATGGAATTTCCTTTCTTATAGTTTGAAGCCATTGTTCCATATCGTTGTCTCCAGGGCTGCAGAAAACAAGTTCACCCTCTCCTCCTTATGACTTCCTCTTACATATTTATACATGGCTATCATGTCTCCTCTCAGCCTTCTCTTCTTCAACCTAAACATGCCCAGCTCTTTAAGCTGCTCCTCATAGGGCTTGTTCTCCAGACCTTTGGATCATTTCAGTCGCCCTCCTCTGGACACATTTCAGCTTGTCAACATCTCCCTTTAATTGTGGTGCCCATAATTCAACATAGTAACCTGGTGTGGTCTGACCAAGACAGAATAGAGTGGTGGCATGACTTCCCTGGATCTAGACACTATACTCCTATTGATGCAGGCCAAAATCCCATTAGCCTTTTTGCTGCCACATCACATTGTTGTCTCATGTTTAACTTGTTGTCCATGAGGTCTCTGAGATCTTTTTCACATGTACTGCTCTTGAGTCATGTGTCCCCCATTCTATATCTTTGCATTTCATTTTTTCTGCCTAAGTGGAGTATCTTGCATTTGTCACTGTTGAACTTCATTTTATTAGTTTTGGCCAATCTCTCTAATCTGTTAAGATCGTTTTGAATTCTGCTCCTGTCTTCTGGAGCATTGGCTATCCCTCCCAATTTGATGTTTTCTGCAAACTTGATGATCATGCCTTCTAACCCTTCATCTAGGATGTTGTACAGGACCGGTCCCAGGACAGAACCCTATGGCACTCCACTTGTCACTTCTTTCCAGGATGAAGAGGAAGCATTGGTGAGCACCCTCTGGGTTTGTGCGCTTAACCAATAACAAATCCACCTAACCGCACCTTTGCCTAGCCCACATTTGACTAATTTGTTTGCCAGAAGGTCATGGGGAACCAAACCTTCTATATAGGAATAATGTCACCACCCATTCTCACTTGAGAGGCATGAACATTTCCAGAGGGATTACAAAAATATCAGGAAAACATGTGGGTGAGGTGGAGAAAGTGCGACCCAAAGGCCATATGTGATCTTCAACTGTTTTCCTATGATCCCTTGTGACCTTAAAGCCCCAAGGCCCCACATTTAATTTTTTTTAATCTGATGGAAAACGACTTCTACATTGAACACTTCAGGGACTCCCCTTCTAAAACATACCAGTGGGAACAGCATACTCATTGGCCATGGAATGATAGATGTCTTTGTGGAGAAGGAATCAGTAAACCAGTAAATTTTTTTGCAAATGATCCAAGTAAAGATTAGCAAATTATTTCACAACTACCTGCTGCATCCCTCAAGAAGACAATAACTTCACATTTTAAGAATTGGAATGTTATATACATATGACACCTTGATTACAGATTTTAAAAAAACCCCATGATAATGGATATGAACTTATTTCAAAACTGTTGAATATGACATTATATCCTACCCTGCACATGTCCGAAAGCCAGTTTTCTTCACCTTGATCTACAAATCCATGGGTAATAAAACGAGTTGTCTTGTTAGCATCAAAGTTTGAGTAACCAATAGTCTCTGGATTAATTGCAGTGATTTCCTGTGAAAAGTTTTAAAAAGCAACAATGTTATTTCTCTCTACCCGCCTAAGAATTCAAAAATACTCTGTTTTATTAATCAGTGCCTCATGAATGTGAATGTTCACATAAACATAGTTCTTTTCAGATATGAGCACATTTCCCCCTGCTGCACCAAATGTGGGGAAATTTGCAATATTCAGCTGGAAGGAAATCTTACCTGGAAGTTATCAGGGTTCTTTTTAGTATAGAGAAGGAAGCGAGTGTTTATTTTCTCTGGTGACCAGGGCAATTTTGAAATGGGCCTTTCTGTAGTACCAGCCCATGGTATGTCGTCTGTAAAGCAGCCCAGTCGATCATAACAGACTTCTTTTCCTGAAATATGTAAATCAAATAATCAAGGTGCAAATGATCAAACTCATGAAAAAGTTGTCAGTCCAGCCCTGCCTTTTATAGCATCTCTGCTCAGCTTTGGTCAGCACTGCTTCAATATAATAAAGCAACTTCACATTCTGCATATCCGCCACAGTTAAACAATTTCAGCTTTTTCCTTTCTTCAGTGGTATTTCATCCAACACACATACTTCATGAGATACATATCTAAGCCCGTTTTTACTTTCAAGTGAACAAGCACAAAGGCTGCATACTTAAGGAGGAAAATCACATGTTGTGACAAACTTTCAACCCTGTGGAAAACATCTCTGCAAAAAATGTGATGGGCATTTGACCCTGGGGTAAAAGGAGATAGTACTTATACTAAATCACTTCTGTATGGATTTGTAGCTAGATCAAAATATAGGAGCAGGTGACAAGGGCAGACCCTAAACTCTTAAGACCTTGCCAAATGTGCCACCAAAATTGGAGAAAATTGCCGCGTCCTGGCAGCGGTTGCACAGGGGGCGTGGGGACTTGTCGCCCAATGCTCCATTTTGTAATGGTTTCCCCCTGCCTCATCACATAGAGGGAAGTTTTTTCAGTGGCTTGGCCCATTTTTCGTTATTGTCCTCCACTGCCTTTTTTTTTGGTGGTGGTGGCACTTCAGCCACAAGCCACCTCAGAAGTAGTTATCTAAGGCATGATGGGAGCCATCGGGCTCCATGGCTGAAGATAAAAACTACTGTTGTGTCACTGAAAATAAGGTATGTGTGAAGAGGTCCCTAAATTAAAATAGAATTGAATTAACTTATACAGTGTGTGACTGTGATGGTATTCAGGGCTGGCACAAGTCATTTTGATGCCTGAGTCGAAGAACAAAGTGGTGCCCTATTCTATTCTGTGTGAAAAAAGCTAACTGAACTGGCAAGGAGAGAGTGTCCACCATCTAATCGAGGAAAAGATAGCTCCTGAGACAACGATTTCATTCTAACTGATAGTAGGATCAATATGAAAAAAAAGTTTACATTCAACACATAGATTTTCTGCAGTTTTGGAGTAAAGTATATTTCATTGGCATTTACTCACTTGACTGATGAGAAAAAATAAACTTGGAGTTTCAAGATCAATTTCAATTTCAATTTTGCATTACCAATATTGAGTTGAGGGCAGCCTTATTTATGCAAGGTCTTTTAATTGTTTGGGGGCAAGACATTAAAGACACCTTTGTACTTTCCCACATATTGCTTCATTATTGCTTTCCATGGACAAATAAAACAGATTCAACTTACAACTGTTGCGGGGAGTCCACACAATGTATGGCTATTTTTGCAGCACAAGCACTGCTTCTGGCTATTAATTCAGCACAAAGGAAATCAAAGTTTACTTCAAAGCTTCCAGGAACCTCTGAAGTCTCCCTGGCATTGTTGAAGTGGGCACAATGTTCTCATGCCAAAATGACCCACTGCTGTGTTACTGGGTAAAAGCAGCTCCCTGGCAGAACCTTGCTGGTAACATATCTTCTGCTGATCGCATGGTAGGCATAAACAATGTTGCCAGCAAGGCCTTGGCAAGGAGTTGTTTTTGTATTGTCGAAGACTTTCATGACTGGAATCACTAGGGTGTTGTGAGGTCTCCAGGCTGTATGGTTGTGTTCTAGCACCATTTTCTCCTGACATTTTGCCTGCATCTGTGACTGGCATCTTCAGAGGATCTGGAAGAACGGTTTTTGACTAGCAAAACAGCAGCAGTGTACTCCCCCATGAGCTATCAGCCCAACCAGCCATCTAGACATGGAAAAGGGTTCCAGGGTGCTCCTGTGCCGTATTTGGAGCAGCTCAAGAGCACAATACTCTAGATTTGGTAGGTGTAGATGCAGCCTATGTCTCCTCAGTTTCAACTTTCACCATTTTACAAATGGCCAGTATTCCTCACATTCATGTAACTAGGACGTAAATCACAGGCTAGAGCCCCATATTCACTGTGGAATAGACTCATATAATGCAGTTCAGTGCAGTTAGTTGAGACATAGGTTGGTACCTGACAGAGACTTCTAAATTCTTTCTCCTTACAAAAGGATTATCCAACTATGAACAGGAGAGTGCCATCTAATGTTTATTTAATTAATGTATATCCTGCCTTTCTCCAAATCCATGGAGACTTATCAACTTGATCAATTTTTAAAATACTATTCATAAAAATGTTTTCATTAATAATAAAATTAACAATGATCAGATTAAAAAGTCATTCAAGCTAAAACCATTCACATGCCCTCAGCCCCAGCAAGATTTAGAGCCCCCGGTGCGCAGTCGGTTAAACTCTTGTGCCGGCAGGACTGAAGACCAACAGGTTGCAGGTTCTAATCCGGGGAAAGCGCGGATAAGCTCCCTCAATCAGCTCCGGCTCCCCGTGAGAGAAGCCTCCCACAAGGATGGTAAAACATCAGAACATCCTGGCATCCCCAGGGCAACATCCTTCAAGACAGCTAATTCTCTCACACCAGAAGTGACTTGGAGTTTCCCAAGTCACTCCTGACACACACAAAATGTAAGTGGGAAATGACTCGAAGGTACACAGTAACAAATGACAGCATTTTAGAAATGCAACAGCGAGAATAAAAGTATAGCATACAAATATCCACTAAAAGGCCCATCTGTGCTCAGGAAGAGGTATCAACAGGGTTGCAAAAAAATTCAAGGAGTAGTAGCTATGGACCTCATCAGACAGCTGGGGACAGCGCCCCACATTGCCCTCTTACAATCACATGTTGTTTCCCGTCTGCCCCCGACTTTGTCCTGTGTTGTCCCCAGCTTCTTGAATGAGAACACAGGTAGGCAACCATGTTTTAAGGGCAGCCTCTGAACACGCTGCTAGGACATGACTGAAGTCGGGACAGAGACCTTTGTCATGTGATGGGCTCCGGCGGGCTCTGTCCTGGCTGTGTCTTGGCAGTGTCCTGGAATGGGGAAAAAGCCCCGTTTGTTGAGGTCTTATGTCTAGAACTCTGTGTGGGTGGTTGGATGTATGAATGAGAGAAAAATAGAGTCCACTTATAATTGTCCACAGCATGCTGAGTTTAAGTTGACTGACAAACATGCAAAAGCAAGAGTAATAAAATAGAATATCTTGGAATGGCTGGGCTGGTTAGAATACTAAACAGAAATTTTTTTACACTGCAATTTTTTTTGTTGCAGACCCCACTAGTTTCACTTTCTTCAGTACCATAATGCAATCATCCCTCAGTTCATTTGCTATTTCCACTTCTCATCTCTTAATGCTCTTTTCTCCAACATTTTATGTGTTCAGTCTTAATTTTGAGTCCAGACGACACTGTGGTAAAAGGAACAGTCATATCTCACCTCTTGCCACACTGATCAGTAAAAGTGCAAGGCTCCAAAAGGCAAGCATCTGAAATTAATTTTGTAAGAAAAAAGGGAGGAAGGGAGAGAAAATAATTAAAATTGTCTGAATTGTGTCAAATTGTATCAATGTAATGCTCATTTCAATCTATTAGAACAGCCAGAGGATAAAATACAAATATTTTGGTTGCAGAATTTCCTTAATGTAATAAGACGTAACTTAACTGTGAAGCTGTTGCATGTAGCTCCAGACATGCTATCCAAGCATGCCCTTTTTATAAACTGGCATAGCCTTGAATGTTACCCTTACAGGGGAAATGCCACATAAAGTTGGAAATTTATCTGCATATGTCCAATCAAGGTTATCATAAATACACAAGCCATGACTTGCATATCATTTATAAAATGGAAACTGAACTAGATGGTCACATTATTAAATCATATGTTACTAAATGAGCAAGGAAACTTTTTTCTCTATGGGAAATAATACTTTCCTTTAAATCTCAGCCACCATGTGTAATAGTTCTGTCTGTCAGTCAAATGTCTGACATTGCATATTTTGGTGAACATGTCAAGCAGGTTGCTAGCAATCAGGAAAAACATAAAAACAGCATTACAACATTTACAGCCTATGTTTACTGACCATAATACTCATGACTGACCACAGTATAATGAGAAATGCACTTACTTGGTCTCTATAAGGGATCCTGCAACAATCATTTCACTTAATAGATAGTAAAGGTAAAGGTTAATATTTCCCCTGATTTTGGGTCTCATCTCCATTTCTAAGCCGAAGAGCTGGTGTTGTCCATAGACACCTCCAAAGTCATGTAGCCAGTATGACTGCATGAAGTGCCATTGCCTTCCTGCAGAAGCGGTACCTATTGATCTACTCACACATACATGTTTTCAAACTGCTAGGTTGGATGAAGCTTGGCCTAACAGCAAGAGTTCACCCCACTCCCCGGATTCGAACTGCCAACCTTTTGGTCAGCAACTTCAGCAGCTCAGCGGTTTAACCCACTGCACCGCCATAGGGCCTCCCTTATTAGATACACAGCTCTTATTCATATGCAAAATTTTAGAAATAGAGGGACAAATACTTCAAAAACCATTGCAGGATGCAATCTGATGTTCTTTGCTAAGGAAGAGCCCCACCAAACTGACTGAACCTTTAAAAATAAGATTGGGTAAAAGCTAGGCTGTATGGAAGAAAAATCTGGAAACAATTTTTTGGTTTAGCATTTACTCTGTATTCCATGGATATTAAGCTTCTCTACAGTGGTACTTCTAAAGTGATGGACTATGACTGGAATCCAGAACTTAGAACTATTGCTTTATTGAAATACAATTCCCAGAATATTCCAGTGAACAAGACTAGTGTCTATGTTATCTAGAGATTTTATTCCAAAGAGTAACTTCTCCATTCTCCGTTAGAATCAGAAGATGTATATTATGTATGCCATGTTGCTTTTCTTCAGGGAATCTATTTCATCTGTGAAACTGAGCCAATCCTTCTACATCCATAAGCATGGCCTACATTTCATATCAGGCTTTCATATCTCCCACTGACAACACGTGGGAAGAAATAAAAGGACATCACTTATGCATACAAGTATGAGAATGCCAACTGATATGAGAAGTTGCATTGAAGCCAAATAGGCGCTTTAAGTCAGAATCTCACCCCATCTGTTGTTAGCAAGTACAGAAGAAACACAGTGGTTTGAGGTACATTGATGCATCCTAGACATTATTAATGAAGTTCCCCAACTAAAGAAGTGTCTCATTCCCTGACTAAAGGACATTTCATGTTTTACATTGTGAGTTACAAACTCTAGCATGTCATCATTATTCAACAGTGAGTTATAACTAACCAGTCCTATTTTTCCTCAGGATACAAGCATCTATTCATATTTAATTGCAGAGCATGGTAAAGGTCATTCAATGTTGTCCAAAAGTACTCTTCCAAAATCTGTGTTGGCCATATAAATCTACTGGGATTTTCCAGAGGTCTCTGTGGTACTGTAATCATTGTGTGCCTAGCTATGGGGACATTTTTCTGACCTCTCCCCAAGATGCAGATAATGGCTGTGTATAAGAGGGCTTTTGAAGTGGGGAAGTGGGCTTTGAGCATAGTGGAAGACAGAGTGGAATACCAAACTTCACCCAAAAGAGGACATATAGACATATAAGGAAGAAATATGGGTGTAATGAGTTCTAACCCATGTGTGAAGCTTTGTCATATTTACAAAGGTCTTTGCTCCTCACTTACCACTAAAACCATGACAAATCCATGAAGGCTGTAATGACTATATATGGTTTTCATAACATGAACATGTGTTAATGTAGTCAGAAAAAGTACACAGTTGAGATCAGGCATTGGTTGATATTGTAGAATTCCACCAATGCTTTTCCTCCCATAGGACTCACCTTCCTTTGTGTAGGCCTCATGGTTTTAGTGGTAAGTGAGGAGCAAGGACCATTGGCAATATAGGCAGACATATAATAATGTCATGATTCTTCACAACCCTCAGAGGATTCCCTGAAGGCCCAACAGAATGTCGTTGTTCTGTGTGTGGGTATATGCACATAGCAGAAACATCTTTCATGCCTGCTGTTCTCCACTGGCTACTAAATGGCCCCAGAGAGCCCCCACACAGAGGAAAGAGGATTCTTGTAGGGGTTTTGTGTATGGAAGGTAACAACCCTTTCCCTCCAAAATGACAAAAAGATAGATATCATATCCAGTTACAGTTGACTATGTCACTAATAAGAAGACAGCCATTGAGTCTGCTCAGGTATGGGTTATTTTTTATTTGCATTCTGGATTTAAAAGGATTATTGAATGTGGATACAAATTAGCAATGAACTAAGGTGCAGTTCTAGACATGTGTTCAAACAGTTTAGACACACATGCAGTGTAATATGTGAACATTTCTGAGAAAAGCGTGGAACAGGTAAGAAATCAGGGAAAACTAAGCCCCCCCCCCCCCCCCCCCCCCCCAGCATTTGTATTTGTTGCTGGAAATAAGTCCTTTCTGGGGGAAATCCTATTGCTGTTACTTTTGCCTCTTTGTTCACTGGAAGGACTGTGAAAATCAGTCTTTAAATACGTACTTGTCCAATTTTGGAGCAGGGTCCCTAAAGTGAAATGAAAGAAAGGACTTAGGAGGAAGGAGAGGGGGGATAACCACAGCCCAGGGCTAAATTCTGGATGGGGAATATGAAAGGTGTATGTTGTGGAAAACCCTATAGCAGTGGTTCTCAACCTGTGGGTCCCCAAGTGTTTTGGCCTACAACTCCAAGAAATTCCAGCCAGTTCACCAGTTTTTAGGATTTCTGGGAATTGAAAGCCAAAACATCTGAGAACCCACAGGTTGAGAACCACTGCTCAATCAGGGTTGAAGACAATAAAGTCAATGTTAAAAAATTTAAAACAGTAAGAATTAAGTTAAAGATACTGAAATTATATTAAACAACATGACACATGAAAGCAAGACAGTCTGAGATTTGTAATTTGAAGTTCTGGTACTGCAGGTACTAAAATAATGAAATGTGCATTTTTTGCTCAGATAATTCAATTCTTTTATTATGAGTTTTGCAGACATTGCAATATGGATCACACAGTGGTCACTATTACATATCATTTGAGGTAGAATTTGATAGAAGTGTGCACTAACAGCATATATATTTTCACTTAAACATATATAAATATATGTGAGAATGGGGAAAAAACCCTTTTTGTTCCCAAATGGCAAGACTATAAGCATTTTTGTGCATTTTTCAAACATTCTTCACATTTTGGGATATTGTGCACAACTTGCAATTTGTGCAAAACTGTAGGTTTTGCATAAGACAGCAACATTTTTGAGGGAATTATTTTCGTACAAAATCCCATCTGCATACAAAAGAATGGGGAGAGAAGGAACTGATCTTATCACTTATGCTCTGGGACCATTTTTAGATTATTATTATTATTATTATTATTATTATTATTATTATTATTTTGCAAATCTTGGTAATCTAGTGACACTTTGTCATCAAGAATTGTTGGTATTATTTATACCTCGCTTGCACACACATTTCTTTCTGTTTGAACATCATTCCAGTAATCAATCTTGGTCCTCCATCAGGATTGGTAAATGAAATCTCCAGAATGGACAACAGGTCAACTGTTGGAAATGGGATAAACTCAGAGTACTGAAACCATCCCTGAAATCAAACATGGCTCAGACAGCCATCCAACCTCCTTATAAATTAGCATTATTTCCCTCCTCCACCATGTACGGATTCAACTGTATCAATCCCTGAAAATTGTATTTACCCCTCAAGTTGGAGGGCACCTCTCTCTTTTAGACACATCTTTCTTCTTGATCTGTGGAGGATTCCAGTGGCCCCCAAACTTCATATCTATTTCCATTAGTTAACATGTCTATTTCCATTAGAAAACATACTGAAAACTTAATACTGATTTCTCACTTTCAAAAATCATTACTGATTTTCTACAGAGCTGAAATGACAAAGAAAACTTCACAGAAGCCTTGCTTTGAAGAGCCACATTCCCAAATGTCCAGTGCTTTCATTGGTCAGGTGAAGAAAGCCAGTCTTTTTTATCCATATATATATATATATATATATATATATATATATATATATATATATACACACATACATACATACATACATACATACATATGCATACGAACTTGCACACACATCACTTGATTCAAGGGTTCAACAGACTGCTAGTGTTTGAAGGACTTCATATTTCACTGTCCCATTGCCACAAAGGAAAGACCTGGGAGAAAAAGGAGAAAAAAAATCTTTTTTAAGCAAGTCTTCTTTTTCCTGGTTTAGTTCCCTTTTTCTTCTCCCTTAGACACTTTCTGAATGTTCAAGAGGAACAGGAGTGTAACAGTGAGATTGTTCATTTCTTTATTAGTTACATTAATATTCTGCCTTCCTTTGAGATGAAAATGGCAGATGTGACTTTCTTCTAACACACTTTACCCTCAAGGTGTGCATGTGGGGAGTGGGGGGTGGTATCTACATTGCCATATAATGAAGTTTGAACTGCATAATATGTTCAAGTGTAGACTCATATAATGAAGACAACTGCATTGAACTGGATTATATCAATCCACACTGCCATACAATCCAGTTCAATGCAATTAACTGAACTATATGACACTGTAGATGGGACCTAGATCAATCCCAGAGAAAATTATTGGTCCAAACTAACATAATGCATCTCATGGCTCAGTGGCAACTTGGAGGGAAGATAATGTCCAAAACAGTCCTCTACATCGCACCAGCTCTTCTCTAGTGGAAGCCAGACAAAGTTATTTGAATGCAAAATGGGTGGAAGCTTGGTCTTCCGATGTGATTTGAGCTCTCATAATTGCTGGGTGAAACTGATGACAGTTGGAATCTTTAAGCTTTGAAAGGGTCATCCGTTCCCCATCTCTACTTCTACATATGGCAAGGAGACACTGGAGATCCCTGAAATAGTACAAGGAGGCCTTTAGACATGTACAAGTTCTTCTGCAGCTGGGAGCTTCCAAGTGTCCTCCCAAGACAGCAGCTGTTTCTAATACTTCAGAAGAATCTTCTGATGTTCCCCTAAGAGTCAGAATTGTTTTGGAAGATACCAGAATGACAACCTTCTTAAATTATGAGAGCCAGAGTCATATGATTTCCTACCTTTAAAAACGAAGTTTATGACTAAAAAGGACTTTTCAGTTGAGGCACCCCTCATGTGTTACTCTGCCTGGAGAATCTCACCTGGCATCAAGACTGATAACTGTTCAGCACTCTGCAAGATATTTATTTTTTAGTTTATGTAAGCATCATTTAGTTACTTATTATATAGTGATATGGCTGCCCGATAATATAAGTTGTCTGACCAATATACAAAAGACATAATAGACTCCTACAGCTGGAAGGGACCACAAAGACTATCTACGAGTAGTCCTATCCCATGCCAGCAGGAATGCACAATTATAGCACCCCTGAAAGATGTCCATCCAGCTGCAGCTTAAAAACCTCCAGAAAATGAGAGTCCACTACACCGCAAGGCCATCTATCCATCTTTGACAGCTCTTACAGTAATGAGATTCTTCCTAATGTTTGAATCTATTGTTTCATGTTACAGTTCTTGGAGTGGAAGGAAATAAACTTGCAATCTTGAATACACAGCAACATTAATAACTAAAATACAAATAAAACACAAATTACAATCTGACAGGCCTATACCATAGGTTATTTAAAAGTATTACATGAATATAAAGTTGTTAACATAAAGAATAAAAGGCCAAGTAATATGCTCTAAAATGCTTTTTCTTATCTGGGATACTACATCCCGAAGAGTCACTTTATTTGAAGCAGGTCTCTAAAGTAGATCTTAAGTTTTAAGTAGATCCATATAAAAAACGGGATCTAATAGCTAAGTGGGTCCCAAGACCAGGTTCCAAGACACATTCCACATTTGACAGATGGAAACATAACAGTATGAAAAAGGTAGCAAAATTTGCTTTCCCTTCATTCATAAGGAAAGACAAGATTTTTTTTCTTCTCTTTCTCTCCTTTCCTCTCGCTGAACTGATTGCAATCTGCTTTTGAACTTTAAACTCTGTTTTCAGCAACTGAAATAAACTGAGGACAAAGAGGGAAGTAGGAGGAGAGAAAAATTGGGACTTTTCAAAGCAATTGGGAAAGTGGGATGATAGAGGGTTAATTGGGAAATTTCCTGTGAAATTGGGAGTGTGTAAAGTATGTACAGCAGTAGATAGGACATTGCATAAACAATGAAATTGTAATATGAAAATGGGAACACTTACTTGCGTCCATCCTGCCCTCGGATTAGAGTCACCCTTTTGGCTCCCAGTTTGTCCCAAACCGAAGTTAAAAACTGCTTATGCCAAATAAATTCAATTTTTGTGGCGTTGTCAGGGTGAATGTCTAAATCGGTGATTTTTGAGTAGCTTTGTCCTTGCTTAAGGCTTCCACTGTAAATGCATCAAAAGAGAAGTTGTTAGAAGGCATCCATACAACAACTGCTGTGCTTTAGAAATTCCACCTTTGCAGATGACTAACCTGAGATGTTAATGTTACTCTTTAGCATTTCAGGACATACACATGTCAAATTGGATGAGCAATTGAATCTGAGATCATGGCTTCTTAACAATTATAAGGTAACTTTATAATGGTATTGTACAACAACAGCAACAACAGGAGCAATAAAAACAACAATAATAACCAGCTTCTAAAAGTTGGCATACAGTTATTATATTGCATCTACAGGGAACTTTATCGCAGCTACTTGTAATTTGCTGGCCATCATTCAATTATTTTAATTGTATGTTATTGGTGAATGCCTACAGATAAATAACTTAGATTCTACCTCACATGGACAGTTATGAATATTCAACTATGTATTATATCCTGACCTAACCCCATGAAGCTCTTCCAGACAGGTCCAAATTATGAAAAGAACTGGGATTTAAAATCACGATTATTTTTGTGATGCAATCTCCCCCTCCTCTCTCCTAAGCTCCCGATGCATCATTTTGACACATCAGGAGCTTTTTCTGAGGGGCCTGAGGATGCAGTAAGTTTCCAGGGAAAACGGGGGGCTAGGAGAGTAGGGTTGGGCTGCCATCCTGTTCCTTCGGGCCCTTAGAGTCCAAAGAACTAGGATGGCAATGAGGATTCATGCTCAGGATTGTGGAAGGTGGTCCTGAGAGTCAATCTCCACAGGCTCAACACCTCAAAGTAAGGTCCTGATCTCTTTCAGTGTTTTTTTTAAATCCACAGTTAAAGAGGGAAATCCCAGTGTATTCCAGACTAATCTGGATTAACCTGGGGGTCATTTGGATGCCTTAGTTTATTCCACAACCCATCATGGGTTTGAGGTCAATGTGGAAGGGCTCTAAGCCCTCAGCTTCATTGAACAATCGAGGTCTATTCTATTGGTGATTGAGATGCAGCAGGATATTTCCACCTTTTTTGGCTAAATTAGCTTCCAAAAATTAGGGTGCACATTAGAGTCGCATAATATGGTAATCTTAGGACTTCTTCACAAGCACCGCTAGAATGATTGTGTGTCTCCACAGTTCACTACGATCCTGGTGGCATCCACATTGGTGTCCTGGGGACATGTTGCCCCATGTCCCACACCATCACAGCTTCCTCTCTGCCTCATCACTCAGAGGAAACCTCCTTGAGCCGGCTCAACCCATCTTTCCCAATGGAAAGACAGGGAGCCACCTGTTGTCCACTGCTGGCAATTTTGCAGTAGCAACAGAGTGTTTGTGGCAGTTCAGCCATAGAACCACCCAGGAAGTAATTTTCCAGGATGTGATGGGAGCCATCATAGTCTGTGGCTGAAGTAAAAAAAAACCCCGTCGTCACCACCAAATTTTGGACCATGCTTCAGGAGCACCTGGAGCTCAAATTGAACTGTGCTTAAATCTAACATGATTTTCTATGGACAGAGTTTCTTTCAGTTCACAATATAAACCTGTTTGTTTTTCACTTTATTAAAAAAAAACTCCACCAAACATTCCGGATCACACCATGAATCTCATGAAGTAGCTTGGAGAAGCCTATGAAAGTCCATGACACAATAAATGAGTTTGTTGTTGAAGCAGTACTGAACATTTTGTCATTTTTGTCCTATAATAGGTCCTCCTTAATGCTTCCATTTATCTAGGACAAGGAAGCCCAGAAGCAGGTTCCGGCACAGCAATACAAATGGCCCATATATTCTATATTTCTTTTCTATACACACCCACACACATTCTTTCTCTCACTCCTTCTTTATATGGCATCCAACCTAATAAAAAGGTTTTGGAGAACTCGAAAGCTTCCTTATTATTTTGTGTCATTTCACCTGGCCCTAAACAATAAAGGCATTGGCCTGTAAACAGAGGACAGAGTGGCCATACGAGCTACTTTGAATCCTAGTCTGGAAAAAAGATGAGATAGGAACAAATGTAATACCAAGAACAATAATATGCATAGCAGCATCAAAAAAAGAGGACAAAGAGGTCATGTACTGCCACTTTGAACATATCCAGACTGACTGAAAATTCCTAAATTTAATTCCTGTTCTTTCTGATTTTATAATAGATTAAAGTAAACCAATCTGGGTAGTTGGTATAAAAAGCTTTTGATCATATCAGGACCTGACAGAAAATATTGTGGGATAAACTACATATGTACAGATCTCCAATATAAATTAAGAAAGCACAAGAACAAAATTTGGGACTTTGTAGGGGTTTTGGTGAGAGTTGTTTGGTTGATGTGAGAAGGAGGACCTCTATCCACTGTTATTCTCATAGTGCAGCATAAATTGAGGTTCGGGGACCCATTTGTTTATACAGGCATTTTAAAATTAGTTGTTTTAAATGGGTTTTCTGTTTTTATTATTTTATTTGTTTCAACTGTGGGCTTTGTTGGATTTGTTTTTATCGTAAAGTGCTCTGGAATTTTTAAAAACACAATGAACAGCATAGAAAAGCTTGATAATAAACACATTGCAAATGTTGTGCAAATCTATGGGCGGTTCCAGACAGCACTTTAATGCGAGTGCAATTGGGTTTTAGAAACATGATTAGACTTCCATTGAAGTTCTCACAGAAAGCTCATGCTTTTCTTGGGCAGGTGTCCAGATGCCTTGCCGGACTTTCTGGCATAGCACTGGGACATAAAACAACCCCCCCCCCAAAAAAAAAGCCTTTAAAAGAGACAATTACTTATCCAGCCACCATTCCTCCTTCTCCGGCACTCTCCTGGCATGTAGAAATACTGCACCAGGAGAAAGGAGGGGCAAGAGAAAGGGGGAGCCAGGAGCGATTTCCATCCTCCACTCTTCTTTTGGTGCACCATTTCTACATGCCAGGAGAGTGCAGGAGAAGGGGGAATGGTGGCCGGGTAAGTTATTTTCCTTTTTAAAGGCTTTTCTGGGGGTTTGAGGAGGGTGTTAGAGCCCCCTTGGATATTGCAGGTTCATGGAGCCCAGAAAACGTGAGAGGGCTGTGTGAACGATCCCCTTATAAGTCCCAGGACTTCTGAGGGGGCAGTCCAGACATCACCCATAGCTGGAAAGACCGGGTCCTGTGAAAACGCATTTTGGGTACTGCCTGGATGTGCCCTATGTGCTTATTATGAGGTATTTATATGCTATTCATTGTGTTTTTAAAAGATCATGATTGGTTTTCTTCCCCACATTTTCTCTCTCTGTAACCAAAACCTGTTTTTTTTTTATGGAAAGCTTATTTTTTATTTCAAAAAATTGTGGTCCACCATTGCTCCTTTGTCCCAGAAGTCTAGGTACAATATAGCATGTACAGCATTTAGTTCTAAGTAATTCATCTTATTATCTCCAGCTTGAAACTGCAGGTGCGGGACAAATGATGTCTAGTATTACTGACTCACCTTGGTTACTTATAAATGAAATAAACAAATAAATGTATATACTGCCTTTTCCTCAGTGAACTTAAAGTGCCAGGCATGACTCTTATTAACCGGAACTCAAGCAATTGAAACTCTCATGCAAATAAAAATTAAAATGAAGGCAGTTTTAGAAAAAAAAGATACATTAAGTTACGTATGACTTAATTTTCTTTTTATTGCTGTATTCAACATTAATATCAGGTCAATATAACATTTATGGTATAGTATAGTATACCATAAATTCTGCAACCAAAGAATACATTTATCCAGCATCTACCTATCTCTGTGAGTGCTGGTTAACTGAGAGTCTACAGTATTTTATTTTCACATCAACTCTATGAGGTAAGATATATGATCATATATTGTATGTAGCCAAAAGGCATTACCCTATATGGAATTAAACATGAAAAATATTTAAAATATTAGACATAACTTTAAAACATATTTTAAAACCCCTATAAAATCATCAAATAAAAAGTGTTAAATTAATATGTACAATAAAATATATTCCTTAATGAAACAAGCATGTAGTTTCTTAATGCCCAATGCAAATTGGGCTACTGCATATATGATAAAGACCCATGTATCAGTTATCTACAGCCACTTTCTAAAGTGTGTGTACTGTATACAACTGAATAATGAGTGACACAAATCTTTGTTTGGGGGCAGAATATAGGGAGCAGAGCAACTAAATTCATATTTTCTTTCTGCGAACTTCAAAAACCTCCCTTCAAGATATGCAGAAGGCATTTGATGGCAACTGAGTGCTACCCATCTAGGAAACAGCCATAATTAAAATGATTTGACTGTAATTATTTCATTTTAATTAAGCACGCCTTGCAGCACCAGAATGAAATGCTTGATTTGGGAAACATTTGTGGAGGGTTTCCAAAAAGGGACAAAATCCATCTGAGGAAATTTTACAAGGATATGGAGAAAAAAAAACATGCTGAGGATATGCATTCTTTTGTTATGCAAGGCAATTTTTCAATGTTTGTACCAAAGTGATCCGATATGTTTTGATATTGTCTATCTATATATAATATTCTACTCCTAGCCAACAATGTGTTGCCATCTATAAATCTTTTTTTTTTAAAAAAATGGATTTGGTACCTTTTGGAAACAAACATCACATTTGAACACTATATATAAAGGGGGAAAAAAACAGAAGCCAACAACATATTAGACTGTGTATATCTAAAATTATCAGATCTCAAAAAACTGGTTTCAGTGCCATATAAAATGTACCTCTGAATTTGATATTCCTTTGTGTATTCATCTTTGCCGTGAAAAATTATATTTATTAATCCCCTTGCATTTCCATATAATTTCACAGATATTTTATATCTCCAGCCTATGTAACAAAGATAGATTGAAGCCATATGTCAGCCAGTGTATAAAAAGAATGAATTACAAACTAAGATAGATAAACACACATACACACTTTTTTCTGTTCCTACCTCATTTTTTTTTAAAAAAACATACACTCTTCAATTATAGGTCCGAAAGTTTAAATTATTATTACAAATATTACAAAAAATCAGATTTGCGCTATCCCAATATGTAAGCAATTACCATATATTTTATAGATGTATAGAATCATAGTGTTGGAAAGGACATCTAACCCAAACTATCTCTTTATTTTTTATTTTCAAAATCGGCAGGCTATAATTTGATTCAAAATATGGTTTTCAGAACAACAATACAAGCAGTCCCCAATTTACGAAGAAGATAGGGTCTGTAGGTTTGTTCTTAAGTTGAATTTGTATGTAAGTTGGAACAGGTGCATTTTAAAAGTGTAACTTCAGATTTTTTGTGGTGTTGGTTTTGCTGTCCAGAAGATTTCATCCCACCTTCTGTCCCTGAGATAACTGGATTTTGGAAAAAAAATGCTTGTTGTAGAAACAAGGATTAGTGATAAAGCTTCAGTGAACTGAGACAACTTTTCCCCATGATAACTCTTTCAGGAGTGAATTTCCCTTTCAAGAGATAGTTTTCTCTCCCTTTCTGTTGTCTCACCCCCATTTTTAACTATGAGTCATATGTAAGTGGGATGTTTGTAGCTCGGGGACTGCCTGTAAACTATTTTCAGAACCTCAATAAACTAATTTTCTAGCAAAGCAGTGTCAGTTAAGATTATACATTTTATTGAATAATCAAGTCAATGTGGTATATTTTCTAGTATGTGGGATTGTGACTGCGTCATAAAGGAAGGCATCTATATGAATGGTATGAGATACAATTCTGTGTGATTCCTGTTCTGCAATTTTAAGCATTTTACAGACTTGTAATTTCACAAACTGAACATGAACTTTGAAATGTGTTTCTTGAAATGTCAAACACATCACTTGGGCTCTTAGGGATAAAAAAAGGTCTACTGTTTTGCCCCTTTACTGTGAACACTGTGAAGGCCATATAGTTAAACTGTAGGAGAAATCCAAAATTTATTAGTGGTTGCCTTAAATGTGTATTGCAGAAATTAAAGGAGAATGGGTTTGTCAATGGATCTTAAGCATCCCAACCAGTGGAGGTATGCAGTATAAATCATCATCATCATCTTTATTTATATCCTGCCACCATCTCCCTGAAGGGACTCGGGGTGGCTTCCAAGGCACTCTAGGGTGCACGTATAACATACAACAGGTAAAAATGGTACAAAAGTATAAAACAAGTCACATAAAATTATAACAACAACCCCCCTCAACACACATAGCACAAAGTCAAAATAACACAATTTTAAAACAACAGTAGATAAAACTAACTGCTGTCAACTCACAAGATGCCAGGTGTCAGCTTCATAGGGGCCCATTCAGCCTACTCAAGGTCAAAGGCCTGTCTGAACATCCATGTTTGCAGGTTGGAATGGAAGGACTGAAGGGTGGGGGCTAATCTAAGACTGTATTTCATTTGCTATAGAACATGAATAACTACAGTCATATTCATGCCCTGCTTTTGACCTTTCCATAAGATAACCCCTGTAATGACAGTTATGCTGTAATGACAGTGGTGAACTGGATAGATTTTCTTGTCCAATAGAACATTGCCCTTCCTCTTCCTTCACTTCCAACTCCTCTTCCTTTACTGTGAGCCTGTAACAATATGTATGAGCATCCCCATTTTCTGGTTTCACATAAAAAAGTGAGAAAACCAAAGCTCCATATACACTGTATAATGTCTACATGGAATTCTGAAAATTGTCTGCTGTCATCTGATTTCTCTACAAAATTGGGCAGCCAGTGGTTCCTATATGAAAGTACAATGGCAGCTCTGCGTTTTAGTCAAACTGCCAAACCTATTTAGGGAATATGGTTCAGCATCATGGATGGTTCCTTCAAAGTAATCAAGGGACGCCATCTGCGATCAGTGATTCCACCCCTGTGCAACTCTATCAGCTTTATTCTAATTTTTGCACTCACTGGTAAATGGCTCCGTAGCTCCTGTATTTAGATAATATTTTGTATTTTTCTTTACTTTATGACGGAATCGATCTGCATAGTGGCCCATCATTGGACAACCACCTTTGGGGCATGGAAAACAATTTCCCTAGGGGAAAAATGAAAGCATTAATGAAAAAGGCATTTGTTAGGGCATACATTCCAAAATCTTATATTCACGGCACATAATTATTCTGTTCTGTTTGTTACTTTTCTGAAAGTTTTAACTGAATAATTAAATATTTTGAAGCCCATGGGCTTTAATTGCAAATAATTACTTTTAAAAAAGTAACTTTCCAAGGTGAGCATGATCAGATACCTGACAGTATCCATGCCTTGGCAGAATGCAGAAGCTATATATCTGAATCCCTTGCCCTGCTCATTTTACCCACTCCACCCATGTCTCCCAGCAAACAATGAGAACAACAAAAGAGAACACTGTTCATTCATTGCGTCTTCATCTCTTGTCAATAAATATAATTGGATCCTGAGGCACAAGTAGAATAAGAAAATAATCAAGTGACATATGCTTACTTCTTGAAAGGATTCATATGATTTGCAAGGATAGCCCAGAAAACCATTTGGATAGAGAATGCTGTACAGGTAATACTCATGACTTCTGGAATGATGGCAGTTTCCAGCCCTAGGAGTCTCTGTCAAAAGAAAACTGTGAACCTCAGTGACAAGTCTTACAATTTTTTTAGGTGTCATCCATAACTATTTAGAGAATTCCTCTTTCACTTCAGAGTGAAGATGGCTGTAACAACGAAGTATGATGGAAACTCTTTCTGATTTTTTTATTGTAAATTCATGTTATCCAGGAACTTATTATTATTATTATTATTATTATTATTATTATTAACTTTATTTGTACCCCGCTAGCATCTCCCGCAGGACTCGATGCGGCTTACACAGGCCGGAGCCTCAAAACACAATACAATAAAAACATAACACAATAATAAACAAAGCAAATCAAAACAATTAAGCAAAATAACAACAATAACTACATCAAGACACAATTAAAACTGGTTCGGCCGGCGCAATGGGGTACAGGGGTTAAAATGCTGAAATGGCAGGAGGAACATGGATTAAAAGGTGCGGTGTGCAGTAACATCAGTTGTGCTAAAGTGCTTCTAGGACTTGGGATGGGGGAATTCCTAATCTGAGAAGGCACATCGGAACAGCCAGGTTTTTAGGTTCCTTCTGAAAACTGCTAAAGTAGGGGCCTGTCGGAGATCTTTTGGAAGGGCATTCCAAAGTCGGGGGGCCGCCACAGAGAAGGCCCTGTCCCGTGTCCCCACCAAGCGCGCTTGCGACGTGGGTGGGATCACGAGCAGGGCCTCCCCAGATGATCGGAGTGAGCGTGTGGGTTCGTAGATGGAGATGCGGTCACGCAGGTAGGTGGTCCCAAACCGTTCAGGGCTTTGTAGGTGAGCACCTGCACCTTGAATTGGGCTCGGAAAATAAATGGCAGCCAGTGGAGCTCCTTAAACAGAGGGGTAGACCTCTCTTGATAATGAGCCCCGGTTAGCATCCTGGCTGCTGCCCGCTGGACCAATTGAAGTTTCCGAGCCGTCTTCAAGGGCAGCCCCACGTAGAGCGCATTGCAGTAATCCATTCTAGAGGTGACCAAGGCGTGGACCACCCCGGCCAGATCTGCCTTCACGAGGTACGGTCGCAGCTGGCGCACAAGTCTCAGTTGTGCAAAGGCCCTCCCGGATACCGCCGACACCTGAGCCTCAAGTGTAAGCGAAGAATCCAAGAGGACACCCAAACTGCGGACCTGTGGCTTCAGGGGGAGTGTAACCCCGTCCAACACAGGTTGCCACCCTATACCCCGATCCGGTTTACGATCGACCAGGAGGACCTCTGTCTTGTCGGGATTGATCTTCAGCTTGTTCTTCCTCATCCAGATCGACACAGCGGCCAGGCACTCATCCAGCACCCGAGAAGCCTCCTTGGAATTAGGTGGAAAAGAGTAGTAGAGTTGTGTGTCATCCGCATAAAGATGGCACCCAACTCCAAAACTCCGGATGACCTCTCCCAGCGGTTTCATGTAGATGTTGAAAAGCATGGGAGACAAATAGAGCCTTGCGGGACCCCACAGGTCAAAGGCCAGGGGTCCGAGCAGGCGTCTCCCAGCTTCACCATCTGGGTTCGTCCCTCCAGGAAGGACCGGAGCCACGACAAAACCGCGCCCCCGAGGCCCATCCCAGAGAGACGACCCAGAAGGATACCATGATCGATGGTATCGAAAGCCGCTGAGATGTCCAAGAGAACCAGCAGAGTCACACTCCCTGTCCAGCTCTCTGCGGAGGTCATCCACCAAGGCGACCAAGGCTGTCTCGGTGCCATGACCAGGCCTGAAACCAGACTGTGACTGATCTAGGTAGTTGGTATCGTCTAAGAAGCTCTGGAGCTGGGAGGCGACCACCCGCTCCAGCACCTTACCCAAAAGGGAGGTTGGAGATTGGCCTGTAATTACTCAGCACCGTGGAGTCAAGGGAAGCTTTTTTGAGGAGTGGACGAACCACAGCCTGTTTCAGATTAGATGGAAAAATCCCTTGCTCCAACGATGCATTGACAATCAACACAAACCAATCAACCAACCCCCTCCCTGGCTGATTTAATGAGCCAAGATGGGCATGGGTCTAGAGGTGAGGTGGTCGCCCTCACAGCCCCAAGAACCTCCTCTACAGTTTCAGGAAGAACAAGCCTAAAAGAATCCCACAAAGATGGACAAGCAGGTGCCTCCGTCACCTCCTCTGGCACTGCGATGGAATTGGAGTCGAGCTCGAGGCGTATCTGAGCGACTTTATCTGCAAAATGGTGTGCGAAATCGCGACACCGAGCTGCTGGGTCATCAGTGACCTCCTCCACCACAAGTGGGTGGAGGAGTTCCCCCACAACCCGAAACAGCTCCGATGATCTGTTTGCTGCAGACGCTATACGGGTGGTCGTGAATGATTTCCTGGCCACCCGTATAGCCACGGAGTATGCCTTAAGAGAGGCTTTAGCCCGTGCTCGATCAGAGACGTCCCGAGATTTCCTCCATTTGCACTCTAGCCCCCTTCTCGTATGCTTCATCACAGTCAGCTCCCCGGTGAACCAGGGAGATGGCCTGTCACGACGCAACGAGATGGGGCGTTGAGAGGAATTGTTGAGAGGAAACTTCAAGGTGCTTGCCCTACCATCTTATTTGTCTTTAATTTTTTCAACTAGTCTTGAACTTGTCCGTCCTTCAAATAGATCTCTTTTAATTAGTCACTCTACCTCTGAACAAACATGCACAGGATTATGTGCAAGCAGAGTGAAGACTGAATATATTTTCATACTTGTTGACTGTAACTCAGAAAGACAGATCTACAGTAAATCAGCCATGCATCTAGCTAGAGATCCCAATCAGACTTCTGAATGGTGTCTGTAATGGTCTTATTTGGGGGACATCTCCTTTCCAGTTAGAAATGAAAAATTCCTTTCATGTTTGGACTAAAACTCACAGTGGAACTTTGGAGCTCCCTGTTTCATTTTTGTTTTACTGGGTGTAGGGAAAAGGGGAGGTTAAAGGAAGAGGAGGATCATGAGTCAAGAAATTATGAGGAATGTTGCAGGATTACTAGCTCTAATTGCATTCAGTTCAAGTTGAGTTTGTTCTAAATTTGTTTTTGCTGTCCTTCAAACTTCTCTTGACACTTTTGTGGCCCTAGGCCATTAACACATAATCAACCCAGAGCCATTGACACTGAAACTCGCAAAGATGGACTTCAGGCATCTACATCTGATGCCTGAATGTATGCAATCATATTTCTCAGAACTTGGAAAAAGTACATTTGCAACCTAAAACTCTACATTTAGCCTAGTAAAAAATAAGTAATATTTTGAAATAGACATGACAATTGGACATAAATATTAAAGATGATATTGTTTGGTTTACCTCTAATGAAGTCTTCATGATCATATTCTGACAGCTCAGTGATTTCATTATTGCATCCAGGCATAATCATCCCCCCATTGGGATAAAAGTCAAGATCACCAACAGCATTAAGCACCCCAAATCCTGAAAAAGGTTCAGTGTGCATGGCATGAGTTGGTCAGTTCTTTACATTTGCCTTAAAGAGTTAAAATATACTTGACTATTACCTATATTGGGAAATTGCCCAGCGTTGCTATGGATGACATCCACAAACTGAGCATCAGAAGAATCCAATCTGACCATGTCTGGGAAGCCTTCAAAACCAATCCCAGCTGGGTCCAAGCCTAATTAAATATAAAATAATCCAGTTAAAATGAGAAATTTCTCCCACCTACCCATTCACTTCCCAAGTCTGAAAATCTAAGGGCTCCACCATTTTGATGATTAATAGTATTTTAATCTCCCAGAATATTATATATACCTAAAAGACAATACCCATCTTTCCTATAGCTAAACAGATATTATATATATATATATATATATATATATATATATATATATATATATCTCCAATGTTTAGATATAATACACTCCAATGGTCACCCAACTATACTGATACAGGCATACCTCAGATAACAAATCCTCTGACAAAGAAACTATTCATAGGAATCCAGTCCTTCCCCCACCCCCTTGTCCTCTGTCTAGCTGGAAGGTGGGTAGCATATTTTAGTTTCTTGTTTTGTTTTGAGGAGCATTGGCATTGGGAGGCTTGTGAAGGAGAGCTGAAGAAATTCTGTCTTTCAGCATTGGGTTGCATCAATGTGTCAGAGAAAGAATGGGATTTTACTCTAGCTGATTCTACTGAAGCCATATGAGCTTACATACAACAGGTAAGATAAACAACTGCTTCCAGAATCACTCACTAAGCATGCTTGAAGAGCAAATCAAGAAGAAAACTAGAAAGCAGGTTGGCTTGATCATCAGCTACCCTAGTGTGTTAAAAACGCATTGCCACTAAAATGGAAGTTGTAATAAAGACTTTAAAAGAAAAATATCATCATGGGATGCATTTTGAAAGAAACTTTCAAGTGGTCATTATAAGATAGTAAATGTTTTTGATTTGTTACACAAGGCTTATTTGTCCCAGTGGTTTCATTTCACATGCCCATAATGTTGCTTTTGAATCAAAAGTTTGCAGAAACATGTTGAATTGCTCTTCTTTTTTGTGTGACGTTCAAATTCTTTCCAAGTTATTTCTAACTCTGGTGTCAAAGTTTCCATTAAAGAAGTAAAGTCCAGGAGCACACTGACTTTGTTAACTAAGGTATACCTTACTAACAAATAAATACATGGTAATGACTCTCCCTGGTTGCAAATTGAATGGACAGTTGTGAAGAGGCTGTGGGATTAGTGCTTAATGGTGATACAGATGAAACCCTGTACAAATCCTGCACAACTTGTGGCCCTTCAGATGTTTGGGATGCTGATTTCCAGAAGCCCTTGACATTTTAAGCAACAGTCAGGAATTCTGGGTGCTGAAGTCCAAAACCCAGAGGGCCACAAGTTGTGTGGACCTGCATTACACTATAATTAGGCAAATGAAGAAGAAGGATTTGTGTTTAAAAGGGGAGGATGTAGGCATGTGTGTGCTTCAGGCTCATATCCCACATGTCTTTCATCCTTTTTTTTTTGCAAACAAAGCCTCCCTTCCTTTCTATGACTTACTTAATTATAGCATAGTGGCCCATCAAAACCAGCATTAAGCATGATTCGTATGAACAAAGACTGGCTTGTAATCACAGTTGGTTTGAATACCATGATTATGAGACATTCATGGTTCATTACAATACCAGTGTAATACTGCAATAAGGTACATCACTTTAAAAACAATATACGGAAGTGGGTAAAGTTGCTTTAAAAATGGAGGAGAATGGAATATGCAAGCTGCATCATTCACTTGGGCTAAAGCATGGTTAAGAATGTGAAATCTGCACCAGGCTTTTGCATAAGCACAGAAAACCTGAGGTTAGAAAGAAATGTGCTGCTTTTGCATCTGAAGCAGCCCCATGTCCTTTCAGTAGTTCCTGGAAGACTAATTGAACCAACGTTGGTTCATCCGAAAGAGCGTGGTTTACCTCTAATCCAGGCTGGTACGTCCACACTTTTCCCCAGACAGATAGACTCACCCCAATCAAGATTTCCTATCTCTCTATCAAATACTGCAATCTGGTTTCCTTGGACAGCATACCAGTTATTCTGCCAATGCTTGGGAATGTTTTGATAATGCCTCGAAGTCGTCTTCCTGCTTCTCCAGCAGTATGGGCACCAAGGCTATGACCAATGAGGTGGACGTTGGAAGGGCAGTAAAGATACATTTTCTAGTCATTCAAGAACAAGGGAAGAAACTATATAGGCTTAAATGATTTCCACAAAGGACGCTATCCTTAAAGCTTGCAACATAAGCTGCCAATTTTATACAGAAAAGGTAGTGCAATTGATAAGAACTTAGGAGTGGACTTGTGTTGACAGTGATGGCATTGGCAGTTATCTGCAATTTCTCAGAATGGATACGTACAACAAAATCTGTTTGCCTGATCAATCTTAGGTGAAAGGTTTATGTAAACTGACTCAGTTTCAGTAGTATGCGAGTAGTATATATAGGATATTATATACTTCCCACCCCCTCTCTCTCCTCTCTCTCTCTCTCTACATATATATATAACTTTTCCCAGGCTATATCCCCCAAATCTGCAAATTTGCAAATAGTAGAATAATATGGAATGTAACAATCCATGTTAAATGAATACAAACTTAGAAGTTTGAGAATAGTCAGACCAAATGTAGGCAGGTAGAGGAAAACATACTAATATGTCAAAAAGACACTGGCATTCATTGATAAGGCTTTATATTCTATCAATATTGGTGAAAAATAAAATGTCTGTAAGATGTTTGAAATAGTAAGTGTAATTCGTTGGAAAGTGCAATAAAATGGGATATAAATGAATAACAATGCATATTTGCACACTACCACTGAAACAAAAACTGGTATCTTTCTTGCAAATGTTGTTGCCATGTGCCTTCAAGTGAGCTCCAAAATATGGTGAGTCTAAAATATAATATTCTTGGTAAGATTTATTCCAAGGTTGTTGTAGATTTTTCGGGCTATATGGCCATGTTCTAGAAGCACTCTCTCCTGACATTTTGCCTGCATCTATGGCAAACATCTATGGAATGAAAACTGGTATCTTTCTTGCAAACGTTGTTGCCATGTGCCTTCAAGTGAGTTCCAAAATATGGTGAGTTTAAAATATAATATTCTTGGTAAAATTTATTCCAAGGTTGTTGTGGATTTTTCGGGCTATATGGCCATGTTCTAGAAGCACTCTCTCCTGACATTTTGCCTGCATCTATGGAAAACAACCTCTAAGGATGCCTGCCATAGATGCAGGTGAAATGTCAGGAGAGAATGCTTCTAGAACAGTGATGGGCAACCTTTTGAGCTTGGTGAGTCAAAATTTGCCAAAAACCTGAGATTAACTTGGGTGGGGTGTCAACTTCGAGAATTTATTTATTTATTTATCGTGTCAGGGGCAACTAGACCATTGTATTACATTTCTAACAGAATGAAACAAACAAACAGATAAAAAACACAAAGTTTGCAAACTCTGAGAAAAAAAACAACATAATTTTGCAATGTTTATAGTTTAAATAAGAAAAATGTATATCCCGTGCTGAGTTATGGAGTGAACAATGCTCAAACGTGCAAATGTTAAATTTGTAGAGCCTTTTAAAAATTTAAGGATGGAATTAGATTGGCTCTTATAAGGTGTACTTCTCTGTATGCGGCGTCATGTGGCCGCGTGTCATCAAAAATAGTCATGCGTGTCACTGCTGACATGCATGTCATAGGTTCACCATCACGGTTCTAGAACGTGGCCATATAGCCTGAAAAACCTACAACAACCCAGTCATTGCAGCCATGAAAGCATTCGACAATTTATTCCAAGGTTTTCCATTGTCTTCCTCTAAGGCTTGGAAAATGCTCTTGCTCATTTTCACTCAGTGTGTTTCCATGTCAGAGCAGGAGCCCTGGTTTCCTGAATTTCTAGTCCATTACTCCTATCATTCTACCACATTGGCTTCTTCTAGAGAATTACTGTACATTAATTACATATCTGAACAGACTGGTTCCATGTGAGAATGTTGAATATGATACAGAGGAATGAGATAAAGAAATCTACCTGAGAGGTTATCTGAGGAATTTTGACTTTCTGGCTTCATTTTGATTGCTTTTTTCTTAATGTGCAGTGTTTATGTGTATTTATTTCATTTATTCTTACATCAATTAAGCATACTGCTAAATTATATTTTAAAAGATATTAAGTTATTTTAGTAGAATGTCTAGCATCCAGATATGACATTTAAATAGCAGCTTAATAATCATTCTTACCCTTAAAGTGTTGACGAAATAAGCAATAACAGCCCCAAGAACACGGATGTTGCTTGCAGCTGTGAAATAGGTGCATTTGGCTCCATCTTCCCAATCTACAGCAATGCAGTTTATGTTTTCAACCTCTACCATCAGCTATAGTATGCATGAAAAACATTAAAATATTTTAGAGGTTATTCATACAAGATATACTTAATATTTTTTCAGATCTTTCTAATTCTGAAGGTCCTATATTATTGACTAGGCCTGAGAATCGGTGCTTCTTTTAGATTCTCCCAGGACATAGTAAGCTCTCATCTTTAGCTACTGCCCAAAGTATTTATTTATTTATTTATAGCATTTATATCCCGTTCTTCTCAACCTCCAAAAATGGCTTACAACAAGCAACCATTAGATACTGACACAATACAATTAAAAATAATAAATACAATTAAACAATTAACACAATTATAAACAATCAATTAAAACAGTTCACTGGTTCAAAATCATAATCTAGATCCATACAATTGCAGTCCACTAAAAACATGCTCCTAGTAGCCAACCTAGTAGTCTAGGTTGGCTCCCTCCTTTGTTGTATCTCTGCTAGGAGGCAGAGCTTCAAAAGTGGCAGATAAATCAGGATGCCAAAAGAAAGGCACATGATTAGTTCTTATTTGATATGTTTTTAATTTGCTTTTTATTCTTTTGATTTCAAATTAATCTACCTTAACATACATTTTTATCTGCTTTAGTCACATCCACAATTTTTGAGTGGAAATCTAAGGTATATATGTATCATACGTATTTATACATAAGTTGATTTCATGTAAAAGTCAAGGGCAGGGTTTGGGGCCAAAATTATGGGTTTTGATATGACCCATGGATAAGTTGAGGGTCATTCCACAGAGAGGAGAAAGTACCCACTTCACCTCACTGCCACCATGCCATTTCCCCACCCAGGCATTAAAAAAAAAAACCCAGAAGCAGTGCAATGATGGAAAGAGTAGAAGGGATCAGTGCTTCATTTTGGTTCTCATGGGATAGATAAGCTGTTGTCTTTGACTACTCTACTCAGAGAAAGGAATACTTCCTTTATAAGTAAATGTTAAAATACAGTACTTGTATTGACCCAAGGATATGTTTATCCTGGTTTTATGGGTCAATTTAAAAACTATTTTTTTACACTGATACACAAACACATACAGTAATAAATAAACTCAAACAACCAGTAGCAGTGTCCTGCAAAGAAAGAAAAACTATACTGCAATGAGTACTTACAAAGTAATGCAACTATACATGTTTTCATTTGTTTCCCACTTTCTAAAACCTGCACCAGGTGACAATGGCCATGGAGGAGAAAGTACCTACTGTGCAGCAAATTTCCAAAGTTCTCCCTGCACTTGAAAAAGGATATTTGATAATATAGATTTCATACCAAACACATGTCCACAACCCAGCCATATTTTCCAGTGCTGGTGTATCCATGGATAACAAAGCGGGTTTTCCTCCACGGAGAAAAATGAGAATTTTTGATAGTGAATGTATCATTGAAGAATACTCTCTGTTGGGAATTTAAAAACAGTTATTTGGGGTTTTGAGAATCTTCCACATGAGGACCATTTTTTCCCAAATATTTCTTGTTTATCTACTAGCATTTAAAAAAAAACAATAGTGAAGTTTTCACATGCTTTTTAAATCATCTAGGTGCATTAATATTCTGATTGACATATTTTCTAAAAATAGCAGTGGACAAAAGATCTTAGAAAATGAGCCCCTTAGATGCTTGTTTGTTCTTCCTTCTTTTCTTCCTTCCTTTGTTCCCTTCCTTCCTTTTATTCTTTCAGATTTATTGTCCACCTCATACCTAAGAATTTCAGGATGGCATACAACCAAATCAATGTAAGACCATAAAGAACAAGAATAATAATTCTAAAATTTGAAAATTCTCTACACTAAATCTTGCATCTCTTAAAAACAAATAGTTTAAAGTAATGCTAATTGTAGTACATACACAAAGATAAAAATCAACCAACTTTAATACAAGTATCCAGGTATGACATTGGTATATCACCAATATGGGCATCAACTGGAGGGTGTTCCATAACTGAGGACCACAGGAAACAAAGTCCTCTTTTGTGATCTCTCAAATGTATTGCTTCTTCTGGTGGGCACAGAAAGGGGTTCCCCAACAGACTTCAGGTCTTTGGGTGCCATATATAAGGAGAGGTCCTCCTGCATTTTTCATTAGCTGAGTTTTCTGTTAATTTTAAGTGCAGTACACTGTAGAGCCCATTGAACCCTAGTAGGAAAGTTACTAGTGCATGGACTGCTGTGATGAAATTATCATAGTCCAGGAAAGATCATAGCTGAGTGACCATTCAGAGCTGGACCCAAATTACAAAGGTGACCCCAAGAGCACTTCCAAGTTACCTACCAATTTCTTCAGGGGGAATACAATCCTATTCAAGATAGGCAACTTGCCGAGTTCCCAGACCCAAGGAACACAAATCCCCAAGCCTCAATCTATTCAAGATTCATCTTCATTTCATTGGTCCTCATCTACCCCACTAGAACATCTAAGCACTAGTCCAGTACTTACACAGCCACAGCTAACTCCAATGACAAGGATCAGATCTGAGTGTTATCAGCATAGACATGGAACTCAACCCCAGAACTCCTAATGACCCCAAGGGTTCAAATAGCATGGGATACAACATGGATCCCTGTTGTACTGAACAGCATAAAGGCCATGGACCTGAAGAGTTATCTCCCAATGCCACTGTCTTGAACCAGCTCCTAAAAAGAAGGAAAACCACCATGACATAGTGTTTCCTTCCTACTCACTTCCAAAGGAGCTGTTCCAATGAGATATTGTGATCACTAAAATCAAAAGCCACTGAGCGATCAAGAAGATTTCTTTTACCTTGTTGTTGTGCAGGCATCAAATTGTGCCTTTTTGTAAGCCGCCCTGAGTCCCCCCTCGGGGGTTGAGAAGGGCGGGGTAGAAGTGCGAGAAATAAATAAAGATTAAGAGAGTAGCATTTCCTTGTCTTTCCTCCACAGCAGAACAGAGGAAAAACAAGGCTATCTCAAAGCTAAGTTATATTTGGTCTTTCAAGATATGAAAAAGTTGCTTTTTGTCAGGGAGATTCTGGGTGTTTTAGTCCAGAAAGTAACTTTTCCAAGCTGTCCCTCCTTTACAAATATATGGCTCTGAACATCTAAAATGCCATTTCAATATGCCAAAAATATCTAGAACTATATAAGTTCTCTCATTCATTCATTCATTAGAACACTGCAGTTATGCAAATGGCAAGCAGAGGCTGCAAGATTCTCTATTGGCCATTGTCTGATTGTATGGCATCCAAACTAACATTTAGTTCCCTGAATAATTGCATTTCTGAAATGAAAATACTCTTTGAACCTTTTAGATAACTGAATAGAAAGTTGCGCATTTACTAATTCACTCATATACTAGTTAAGAGCAAAAGCTGGTGAAGACAGACGTTTTTGATCATTCTTAATCATTCTTCATAGTTCCAACTTCCCATTATAATTTGAGATTATTCACAATCAGCATTATTGAGTGCTTACGGATACATTACTTTACCAAAGAGAATAGTACATGAAAATACACTCCTGCTCTTTCTTCTGGTGAGATAGGATGAATCATACACGAAAACATGAATATATAGCTACTATCAACAGTTCTTAAAATGATAATAAAAAGAGGTCTTACTTCTGATGCATTTCCTGTCTCTCTAGTGAAAAGAGAAAAAGAAACATTCATCGATTCAGGTGAATCAGGTAAGCCAAACAGCTGTCTTCCAGGTATACCTGACCAAGGGGGTTTATCTGAGAAGCAGCCTAAATGCTCATAGCAGACTTCATTGGCTAGAAAGCACACAAAACAAATAATTAAATGCATTGCAACTAGTCAGAATTATTTCAGGTTACACTATACACACACACACACACAAGCTGTACTTGCCATGCATTTATGTGGCCAACCTTCCCTCCCTCTTTCGTTCCTTCTTTCCTTCTCTCTTTCCTTCCTTCTTTCCCTCCCTCTTTCTTTCGTTCCTTCTCTTCTTTCTTCCCTTTCTTTCCTTTCTTCCTTCTTTTTTCTTTCCTTCTCTCCTTCCTTCCTTCTCTACCCCTTTCTTCCTTCCCTTCCTTCCTTTTCTGCTTCCTTCCTTTCCATCTCTCCTTCCCTCTTTCCCTCTTTCCCTCCCTCCTTCTCGCCTTCCTTCCTACCCCCTTTCCTCCTTCATTCCTTCCCTCTAGACATAGGCCAGATAAGAGTTGGGCTCGAAGGCATCACTTGAGAGAGCTGCATCCTTGCTCTCTGTAGAACAAAGGCTCCACGGTTAGTAAGCTGGGTGTCTGCAGGAGGCATCCTGCTGTGAGGGAGGGGGGCTGTCTCTTGGGCCTGGTCAGGTCTCCTCATTGCTTCTCCCAACTGCCGCCATCTTCAGGATCACAAGACTGGGGGCCAAACTGCTGTGGGCCATGGCCAAGGCCGCCCACTGAGAACCACAGCTTTCTGATGTGACTGTGGCAAATGTGCAAATGGGAGCTGAGGCAGCTGTTTGTTTTCTTTTCCCTCACACAGGAAGGGGGAAGGGGAGTCGTTTTCGTGCATGCGCTATATCATAATTTAGCTTTTTGGGGGGTTTTAAGTCCTTTTTGCTTGGGGGAGGAGTTATGACTGATGGTCACTCATTGGTCTATTAGGAGTGTAGTGTCCAACTTTGGGGTCAATTCATCCAGTGAATTTTGAGTTATGTTAATCCCACAAATGAACATTATATTTTTATTTATATAAATACTAGCCATCCTCTGCCATGCATTCCTTTGGCCCAGTATGTGTATATGTGTTTTGTGTGTATTTATATGGATATATATGTGTGTGTGTGTGTGTGTATATATGAGTGTTTGTGTGTGTATATGTGGTTTTGCGCATGCATTGTAATGTATTTTTGTTCTTTGGCTTTTTAAGTCTCTTCTGCTGTGATTTTCAGTGTTTTTATGAGTGATGGTCACTCGTTGGCCTGATAGGTGTATTGTTTCCACATTTGGTGTCAATTCGCCCAGTGGTTTTTGAGTTATGTTAATCCCACAAATGAACATTACATTTTTAGTTATATAGATGTATCTGTATATGTACTGTGTGTGTGTGTGTATGTGTGTGAAATGTAGGGTTTCATTTACAATTTGTCTGTTCAAATTAGTGACCATAGATCAGTCTATGAGCAGCTCAAATCTGAGTATTTCACAGTATTAATCTAGTTATCTACAAAGACACAAATTCCATTGAGTTTTGTAAAGCTTATTCCCAGACACGCAGGCTTAAGTGTGTTGTGCGCACATGCTCTGATAAATGTGTGGGATTGGGAAAGTAGGGCCAGCAGACGGTGACTCTACTATTTCAGAAGCCAATGATGCATCATGTGGAGGAACTATTGCTGTTCACCTCGCTTAATTGACCTTGACAATTAGGCAGATCAATGCTAAAAATAGCATTTAGTTATCTTATGGAAGGAAGAGAAAGGAGGAGTCTGTCTGAACTATCATGCAGTTCTCTGTGTTATTTAATCTATTACAACTTATTGAAACTAAGAAAAACATTAGCATTAAGAAATATGCTTGAATACAAATACATTAATTACTTCACAAACTGTGAAGTTATACCAGCTGTAGTAATTTGCTCATATATGGTGAAGCATATATATCTTCCCTGGAATAAAAGAGTATAAAATATTTCCTCACCCTCTGCTGTGCCAAGGAGGAGAAAGGGAGCAATCCAAATTATGTTAATCTATAATAAATTCAAATATACACATTAAACATACTTTCTAAACATCAGTGTTCTGTTTTGCTTATGTAATTTCCCCTAAGGATTCAGCTTCAAATTAATTGTCCTTTACTCCTTTTGAAATGAATAGAAGCCCAGTTAGGTGTCTCCCTCATTTTGTTGGAGCTGAAGCAAAGGTGAGCTCTACTGTAAGGTCCATTGTCTTCTCCAGAAACTAAAAACATCCACCATAATGCCACAACCTTCTAGCCAAACCTGCACATCAATTTGGAGCTAAGTCTCATTAAGCCCTGGCTTAATTCCAGGGAAGTAGACACAGAGTTTCAGATCTAGGTGGAGACCTACCACTAAATGTGGTTTACAGTATACTCCACCCACCTTTTGTGTTAATGGTGGAAGGATCTTCTGAGAGAAGCGCTGCCAGCAAGGAATGGAAACAGGGAGACTGGGCAGATGGAAAGATCATTAGGCATTTTGTGGGTGTATTCATTGGTGGCACACTGGTGGCCTGGGATCCCCCAAACTACTCTGGGTCACAAAATGTAAAAAACTGTGGAAATGACCTTTATCTTTTGCTGTGACCAGAACTTTGGATTGTCCCCAGAAATGCATTGGTAGCCATTGGAATTGTTGTAACAGCTTCAGGCAATAGTCTAACAACATTGCGTATTTTGGGTCTTTGCAGTTTTTGGATATTCTTCAATGGAAGCACTATGTTGGCTGCATCATAGCAATCAAAATGTGATATAATAGAGCAAATATCACAGCCCCCACATCCCCACCCCCAAATCTCCAAGAAAGATCAAAGTTAGCATTACTGGAATACTAGTTTTAATTATGTAAATGCATTGCCTGCTATTCTGAAGATTGGGAATTTAAGTACAGAGCTGAAGCCAGGAGCATATCTAAACTGAAAAGTTGTCTCTTTATGTCGAACCTCATTCAGTGTAGACTGAATCCCTCTTCCCTGCTCTGTCATTTGATGGATCATGAGTAATCATTTCTTGCCCCAATTTCAATTTGTTCTTCCCCACTTTAGGATGGAAAGGCAAAATAGAGTTGGGTGTGATTAACATGTATGTTATAAAATATACAACATATATATTTATTATTTACTTATTTGTTTGTTTTATTTGTATGCTGCCTTCATTCCAGCATGGGATCCAAGGCAGCATACAGCTAGGCTGAAACAAGAAAATGTTTAAATGTGAGACTAAAAAAATAAAATGCAATTAAATAAGTGAAGAAAAAATCTTGATCTATCATGGAAATGAGAACAGAGAAGAGGTCAGTCTATCCTTACATGAAAAAGAATTTCAAGGCCTGAGATCAGCCACTTGGAAAGCTGTCTTTTGCTTCTTTGCAGAAATCTGACTCAGTAGAATGCATGACAGAAATCTGAACAGGGTGCAATCAAGGTCACTGTAACTTTGGTGGCACCAAAACTTAAATAGTCAGACACCTTCTATCAGCGGTTCCATGCAAATATTAATTAGAAAGAAGGACTTCTGAGAAAAAGTCTGAGGCCCCTTCTACACTGGTATATAATCCAGTTCAAAGCAGATAATCTGGATTTTATATGGCAGTATAGAAGGGGCCTGAGAGAAGTTCTTCTGAGAAAATCCCAGCAGTTCCTGCCTCACATTCTGCAGTCTCCTTCCAAGAACAATCAAGCAAACTATGGAACAGTCCCTCCACATCTCATGCCAGATAGGTGTTCCAGAATGATACCATGGTAAATGGTAGTGAAAGCCATTGAGAGATCTAGCTGGAAAAAACAACAACATGCTGTTCCTACCAAGTTCCTGACATAGGACATCCATCAAGAAGACTAAAGCTGGAAGCCTGATTGAAACACAAAACCCTTCTCTTCTAGAAATCCCTTAAACCAAGAGCCATGTGCTTTAAGACTTTGCCCAAAAAATTAAAATTGTGAGATTGGCAAGTAAGGATCTAGTCTACCACAATAGGTTAATGGAGAGCTTTTTAAAAATCAATCTCATTGCTACCTCTTTGAGGAACTATAGAACCTCTTCTTACTGCAAGAGGAATTAACTATTCCTTTTGTTAACTCACCCCTACCCACACCCAAAATAGCTGTGCACAATTTGTCTGAACAGATACAATGCTTTTACAGAGAAAACAATTTCCTGCTGGCACTGTCTGTTCTGTAAGTTTTAGAATGTATTCAATTGTATTCCCTTCAAGTTCTCTGCCATTATAGTCACAATCCCATTTACTTCTAGTAAACAAATGACTGGTTTGGGTCCAATCTATGTGAAAAGACACTCAGAAATGTTCATGTCCACCATTGTGATCATGTTTAGATGTCATCAAAGCTGACTGCTATAGTAAAAGAAAATCCCCTAAGAGCCATTAGTGAACCTTCTGAATTCACCAGATTTCTCTGGGAGACCACCTTAATAGTCCTCAAACTCTACAAAGGGTCCTATGACACATAAAAGACTAACAAAGTTTATGACAACATGAGCATTTATGTATTACAGTACGTTTTGAAAACTTTTCTGCTATAACAAAACTAGTTAGTTTTTAAGGTGTTGCAGGATTGTTGCTATAGACTCTTCATGAGTTTTGTTGTGAATGCTACCACAGCTATGCCTCCTGAGAATATATGATCAAACTATGTATTAAATTACATTTAAGTCAACAAAATTTGATACATCTTCAACAAACAACAGGAAAACTAATAAACATGGATATATTAGGATATCCTAGATCATTATCTTTGTTACACAACATGAACAATACAATCATCTCTATTCATATAAGATATGAATTTAAGCATTAAATAACCAGTAACATTTATTACTTGCCAACAGCTTTCTAATTTCATAATGTTCAAAAGTATTCATTCACCGATTGAAACACAATCATTCTAACTGTGAAGCTAAAAATGAATTATTATGAACATTCTTTGAACTCAAAAAATAATATTTCTTTTTTGGCCCCCA